CGTGTTTGAGTGTTAACGTGGTCTGGTCCGGTTCACGTGAAAATGAACCGATTCACATGAATACGAACCGGTCAAATACCCAAGCAAAAACCCCATTTTGGTTTTCTTCAAATTCCTTCTTCCTTCCAACTTCCATTTCTTTCCACCGAACCCTATCCATACAACAACCCTTGTCCATCGGCGGCAATAGAGCTCCGATGGTGAATCAACGGCAACAAAGCTCCGGCGGCAACGCATCCTTCTTCTCTTCTTCTTCAACAAAAGGGGTGGGGTGTTAAACCTCATTGTTCGAAGTTCTTCCCTAATTTCCCCTGGAGAGCTCCTTCCACCGAATCCTACTCATACATTGAATCCTTCCAAGATCGGCATGACAAAAAAAGCTCCAACGATTCATCAGCGGCAACAAAGAGAACCCTTGTTCTTCTTCTCTTCTTCTTCTCCTCTTCATTCTTCTTCTTCTCTTTCCCTTGAGAGCTTCGGCAGTGACAAAAAGGGCACAACATCCACCTGGAAGGAGGACAGGCGACCACAACATCCTTGGAAGGAGGACCGACGACCACAGGGAACAGGTCCGATCTGAAGGATGAATAGGTATGACCGGCGACCACAGCTACTTCTAGATTCCTTGACTTAGATTTATTAAATCACTAAACCAGTATCAACGTATCATCTTAAATCACTTAGATTTATTAATGAGGAATCTTACACTTCCAAGAACAACTAGTATCATTTTAGTTGCTTTGTTTTTTTTAATAAATTTTAGTTAATTTCTCTCCAAAAATACGACCCATTAATAAATCATACGGGGCTGTTTGCTGTATTTACCTTTGCTTAATGCTGACTATATGCATTGAACAAGCAAATTTTAATCCTTTGTTGCTCAATTTGTGAGAATTAATTGAGGGTTATAATATAGGTGGTGTAATTCTCTCTCTCTCTCTCCTTATAGCAAGTTAATAGTTCATGCGAAGAATGATACGTCGCTACCAGAGCTTTGTCGCTTCGTGGCCAGCGCTCCATCGCCACCGATGAACAAAGGTTTCTCTGTTGTATGTAGGGCTGTTTATGAGTCGGGTTGGGTTGGGTTGGGTCGGTTTATTGGCATTTTTCCAATCGACCCGATCTAGTCGGTTTACCTAGAAATGAAACCAAAACCGACTCAGTACTAAGTAAAACCGACCTAGTCGGTTTGAATCGGTTTGGGTCAGTTTTGTGTATGATTCTCTTGGTGTGAATGGCAAAGGATTCAAGTCTAACAAAGCAAAGGCTGGATGCCTGAAAATTAAAAATGATTTGATGGATTAAAACTAATATTTTATATATCAGAAATTTTATATATAATATATATATTTCTGAAATAAAGCTGAAATATATATATTTCCACAAATATATATTAAAACTGAAATATATCAGATATATATATATATATATATATAATATTTGAAATATATTATATATATAATATATATCTAAGCCAGTTCGGGTCGGTTCAGTTTCGATTTTCATACATGAAAACTGAAACTGAACCGAACTATCGGTTTATGTTTTTTTTGTAACCCAAAACCGATCGATATTGAAAAAAAAAATGACCAACTCAGATTGGATCGGACCGGTTTAATCGCTTTGATCGGTCTGGGTCTTGTTATGAACAGCCCTATTTGTATGGGTAGGGTTCAGTGCAGAAAAAGGGACGATAAAACCGAAAGAGTCGAAGAAACTGAGAAAAAAAAGGAGTTTTTTTATTAAACACTCAACCGGTTCGTATTCACGCGAACCAATTCGTTTTCCCGCGAAGTGGACCAGACCACGTTTACTCGCGTTTGAACATAACATTAACTTGATCGGCGTGTCGATATGCAATTCGCGGGTGCACTGGACGAGTGCACCCACAGGTGCACAGAACGCGCTCTCCAATTAATTAACCAGTGATACTTGTTCGATTTTACTTCAGAGAATTGTAAAAATTGATAGGCCCAAAGTGGAATCCATGTGCGTTGCAGATGTGATTGGTAGGGACTAGGGTGTCGCAATGTCTTGTTGGCAGGTGATCCGAACTCGTTGACCGAACCGTAAGCATCCCCTAACAAGACGGTTACCGATCGTTGAATCATTACCGTCCACCTCCGATGATATCATGTCACGCACGCTCACACAGTGTGAAGAGTCACTACATGTCAAATTTGGCTATGGCGTGTAATTTGGAAATGCACCGCAACTTCAATCATAGAATATTACTGGCCATATTCCACACATAACCATTCAAAACTTCTATCAAAACGGCTGATGGGCCTACCAATAAAGCACCTTCTTTTAGTACAAGCAGACTCCACTAAACCTCAACCCTATTTCAACCCATCCTGAGTTCCTAACCCGCATTATACATGCCACGCTTCACTGTAGGGTCCATTTCGCCCATTAAACCAGAATTGAACTGCCTTCGTGTCCCCAGCTGTCTTCTCCAATCTCATCCTATCACATCGTTTTTGAACCGTCGTTGATCTAGACGGTCAACCCGCTTGGTTCGGAAATCCTTCAATCAACCCGTTTGGTTCGGAAATCCTATCACATCGTTTTTTCTCTTTTATTTTTTTTTTTTAAATTGCAACGAATTTTAAACCAATTCTGAATCGATGCAAGCCAAATGATGGGTCGATTTTTAAAACATTAAACTATCATATCAGCGGGTAGAAAACACAAATGGAAAAAGAATTGGCAATTGATGTTTGACCCATATAAAATGCTGTAGTAACCGATGACTCCTCCAATCGGATCTCTAATTAACTCTGGTCTTTGCTTTGTAATTTTGTTTTGGTTTTCTTGCTGTTACTTTCTGTTAGAATTGTCAACGAAATTTCTGGGTTTAGCACTCAACCCCCCACACACACCAAAAAAAAGCCCAGAAAAAGCAATTTGGTAGCTGCGATCTGAACACCGAGTGCTGTCTTAAGTATTAGATCGCAAATATTGATCATTTCAACTGACTGGTTTTATATAAATTATAATCACCCGTTGGTAGAATGATATGGGGACAAGATTTCACATATGGTGCCGTGTGCCGTGTTCTTGGCGTTGAAATCTATAAGTGTATTAACACCATATATGGTACTTTATACAATTATAGTGTGTTAACACTAGACAATATAAAAACCTTATAAAAGCCCAACTTGTAATCCACTCTATTCCCTCTTTTCATTTTATTTATTTATTTATTTATTTATTTGCCTTTAGGTGAGGGGTATTCATTTACTTGGATAATAGATGTGGGGACCGCGTTTGGCACGGTTAAAAAGGCAGGACATTAGGGATGTCAATTAACATCGTGTTTGGCATGGGCTTGTTTATCTTCACCCTAACCCATTTCACCCCACTACCTTCCTTATTTGTAGTTTTTTGAATCCTCCCTAACCGTATATGATTGAGTCTAGATCAATTCCAGAACACTTGTTCACAAGAACTCTGCCCATGTCTACTCATAACACACTACTCCGTGAATTGGGAACATCTTCCCCTGCATAAGACTATGTAGGAGAATGAGATGTTTTTCATGTGTGTCTGCGATGTTATGAGGGTAGACGTGGGCAAAATTTGTATGAACAAGAAATTCAGACTCGTCTAGATCTACTGACCACGACACATTGTTGGCCCATGTTCATTTAACTGCATATTTAACTATATATTGAGAATATCAGTGATGTAAAATACAATCGATGTTTTAGATGTGCAGCTGGATGAATATGACCAACAATGTGTTGCGATCAACATATCCGAACTCTATATAGTTCGACTTGATACCAATTTAACTTGATCCGCGGTAATGTAATTGTTTTTAATAATATTCTTTGAAAACCCTAGAACCATTGATGTAAGTTGAAAATTTTGGTTTATGGATTTTAAGGTGTCACTTCCTCTATAATTAAAGAAAAAAAATTATAACAAATTTGAAAAGAAATACTAATTTTAAGATTAATAGGTTAGAAGTCATATTAAATTGGAACAATACCCTCTATAGACATCATGACCCCTTTTTGATTAGTATGATAAACACTACTCAGGTGGAAGCATCAAAACCCCCAACCTGACTTCAAAAAAAAAAAAAAAAAAAACCCAACCTGACCGTATATCTGAATGGGGTTCGGGTCGGTTTTAACCTGACCGTATATTTGTTTGGCCGTGCTTTAGATGATTAATTTAGCTATTTTGTCCTTTCACAAAAAAGAGAAGTACAATTTTCTGGCTTACTTATAGCTTCTACTTTTTGAGTGTCAGCTATAGAAGCGAACAAGTTATTCGTTATATTTTTTATAGCCCAGAGTTTCTTCATAAATACCCTAAAAATCGTATCAACATTCAACAAAGACTCTTGATCTCTCGTAAAACATCTTAATTAAAACACTTCAAAAATTACTAGTGTTCATGTTCAGAAACCTGTAAAAAGTAAAAACTAAAATCCCGAATCTCAGTCAATGCATAATTTCCTTCATACCTATTCACATATAACTAAGAATATCCACAAAGCAAAAGCACTGTTTATGGCAAATCTGCGTGCTCTCCCAAACACCACCTACGAAATTGTCTTTTTTCTCCCATCCTCATTTTATTGACAAACATAAATCGAAGACAGATTTAACAAGAAATCTCTAGTTTCTTTTTTTTTTTTTTTATGGGGTAAAAGTATAAAAACAAATGAGGTTTTTACTGCTGAATTCAGAATTGGTGGAGTGCAGTCTACTTATCCCAAGAATAAATTTAATTGCTCCTGCTGTTTTCCATTGACCAGGCTCTCGGTTTCTTTCTCCTTCTAGCATCTGTCCAATGAATTGTGTTCATGTGGAAGTCAGGCACCAACTTCGCCATGTGATGTTGATAACCAAGAAAAAAGACTCTGAAATTTTGAGTCAACAATAAACAAACCGTGTTTGTTTAATTTGGAAAAAAATATATATATATATAAAATATATATACAAAAAATGATCTCTAGTTCTCTACTCTGGAAAATGACGGGCTTGACAGAACTACCATCTGAAACGAATACCCACAATTTCAAGTTGTATAAATAAAGCTCTTCTGAGTTTCAACCATGACTCCTTACAGCTCAGCAAATTCCCATCTTGAATATCCAAACATCCATTTTCATCAATCTCCGATCCCAGTTGTTTCCATTCTAATTCCATCACTGTTTGTCCCCTCTGCGCTATCAACACCCCTCCGCTTCAGTTTTGACTCAGACGCGCAGGAAATCACATACGAGGGAGGAGCTTCTGCATCTGATAAATTCATACAGCTCAACGGCCCCGGTGGTAACCAGGATCGAGCTATATATTCGAAACCATTGCAGCTCTGGGAAAGAGAAACAAAAGAACTCGCAGACTTAACCACTAAATTCTCCTTTATCATTGACCCAAGCAATAACACCAATCACGGCGACAGACTAGCTTTCTTCCTCGCTCCCCGCGGGTCCACTATTCCTGCTGCTGATTCCAGAGGTGGCCTCCTTGCGCTAGTTAATTCCACTTTGCCAAGCAATTTCTCGAGAGACCAAATCGTTGCAGTGGAGTTCGATACTCATCAAGACTCCTGGGATCCGAGCGGCAACCATATAGGTATCAACGTTAACTCTATAGTTTCTGTGGCAGATGCGATTTGGAACAGTAGTATGTGGGATGGGAGGATAGCTAATGCTTGGGTTAATTATGATTCCACTTCAAAGAATTTGAGCGTCATCTTGACATATATTGACAGTTATTCTGTGTTCAAAGAGAACTCCAGCCTCTCTTACGTAATTGATCTGAGGGACTACCTACCGGAATGGGTCACCGTTGGTTTTTCTGCTTCCACGGGATTTCCAGTCGAGCAGCATAAAACTCTCAGCTGGGAATTCGATTCGAGCTTGGAAACCGAGACTCTGGATCGGGCAAATCTGGTTTCAAAATTAATCACGGCTTTGAGTAACGAAGCAGGTAGCCAGAATCCTCAGAGGGGACACACGAAGAAGAAAAGATTGGTACGTAGCAGGATTGGTTGTTGCTGTAGGTATACATTCTGATGGGATGCATGGGCGTGGGTTGGTTTCTCTTGTGGATGAAGAGGGGGAAAGAGAGAAGGGAAGGAGATGAAGATATGGTACTTGACGATTCTGTGAACGATGAATTTGAGAAGGGAACAGGACCTAAGAGGTTCTCGTATGGTGAGTTGGCTCGGGCGACGAGCAAATTTTTGGAAGAACGGAAGCTGGGAGAGGGAGGATTTGGAGGGGTTTACAGAGGTTTCCTGAGAGATCTCAACCTGGATGTGGCCGTCAAGAGAGTATCCAAAAATTCCAAACAAGGGATAAAGGAGTACATGGCCGAGGTGAAGATCATCAGTCGGTTGAGACACAAAAACCTGGTTCAGCTTGTGGGCTGGTGCCATCAACGAAATGAACTGATTCTTGTGTACGAGTACATGCCCAACGGAAGCCTGGATTCATATCTCTTCAAGCAGAAAGGTTTGTTGAGTTGGGATTCAAGGTACAAGATAGCTCTTGGCTTGGCCTCTGCACTGTTCTATCTGCACGAAGGGTGGGAGCAGTGCGTCCTGCACAGGGATATCAAATCCAGTAACGTGATGCTGGATTCGAGCTTCAACGCAAAACTTGGGGACTTTGGGCTGGCGAAGCTTGTCGACCATGAGCAACTGTCACAGACAACCGTGCCGGCCGGCACCATGGGTTATATGGCTCCTGAATATTGTACATCAGGGAAGGCTAGCAAGGAGTCAGATGTCTACAGCTTCGGAATTGTTGCTTTGGAAATCGCTTGTGGAAGGAGGTCTGTCGAGCTCAAATTCGAAGAAGGTAAGATGATGTTGGTAGAGTGGGTATGGGAGCTCTACGGAAGAGGGAAGGTCCTTGAAGCAATTGATCCGAGACTGAGAGATATGAGTTATGATGAGGAACAGGTAGAGTGTCTGATGATTGTTGGGCTCTGGTGTGCTCACCCAGATCACCACAGTCGACCTTCCATGAGACAAGTGATGCATGTTCTCAGCTTCGAAGCTTCATTGCCGACTCTCCCTTCCAATATGCCTGTGCCCACGTATTACTCTCCTGCGAGCGCGTGCTTCTTGTCGAATATCACATCATCCTTTGATGTTAGTAATACTGAAAGAGTTCGAACCAAAAGTTCGTTCAATAGCTGCACCACCGATGACTCATCCAGATTGACCACCGCTTCTGCTGCTTCTTCAGATGCTTTCCTCTTGAATCCACGGTAATTTGAAACTCACTGTTTATGTTCAGCTTTTCCTCCCATATCTTTATTAGTTTGTTCTATGCATGGATTAATTTACTCTATCTCTTATAGTTTGATCGATATACCATTTAAATTATACATCACTGAATACTATAAGAATTATTTGTTGTCAAACAGGCGGCACGGCCATGGAAGAAAGGAGCAGAGTGTGAATGGTGGAGATTTTCATGGGGAACAGATGGATCAAACGATGCCCAACACGCCATGGTCAGATTATATAATTTGATCTTGTTGGTTTACGACCATAAGCTTGGTCATATATATTTTCTTTTTTTATTTTTTGTAACCAAAACTCTGGTCATGTATTGTATGAGAGAGATGCGAGCTTGAGCTTGTTGTGAATTTTTAGGTTGTAATGTTCTCACTTCTAAGTACAGGTTTGTGTTTCTTCTGTTTTTTTCTTTTTTAGAGGGAGAGAGAGAGGATACAGAACGGGGCGGGAGTTCTATTAATTAAAGGGAGATGTGTTTTATAATCTTTATAAGATACTTCAGATCTTTTGCAATCCTGTACATATATAATTGCAGACTTCTAAGTTGAGACTGTTGGTGTTGCGCCCACTGCGTCCAGCACGGGCGCCATTCAAGCAATATTCCTGCCGCAGTTCCCCGCTGAAGCCGCACTGTTTCGACCGACCTGTAATTAATTTCCAATTGAATAATGGTTTCTTCACCTCAGTCATGGCGCTTTCAAACGCCTGATTGGTGTGTCGTCCGGCCGGGCTTCAAATGTGAACACTTGGGTGTTGCATGAATTCCAATCCAGCTAATTTTAGCAGATGGTAACTGGGACAAGGTCAGCTTAATCAAAATAATATTAACGATTAACAAACAAGTTTAGAAACGAACACGTTCAGACACTAAACAATTGCACACTATTACGTGCATTTGGCATTAAGGACTAATCTCCTTTTTTGGGTTAAAAACCCATTGGTCAAAGGGTATTAGATAAGTCTAAAGACCAAATGCAGCCTAGGGGTGTAAAAGGATTGAATTCAAATCGAATAAACTAATATCCAAATTCGACCAATTAATTATTTAGGTAATTAATAAATATTTTATTTATAGAAAGTATATAAAATATATAAATTATTTATAGAATTTAATTATTATATATATTGTATATAAAATATTTAAATATTTCATATATTATATATAAGAATTAAATAATTGATCGAATTCGGATATTTATTGAATTGGATCAGGTTATATCCGAATTTGAATCCGATTAGCTATTCATTATGAATAAGACATCTGAATTCGACTGATTAGATATTCGAATTACCCGAATTTGATTGGATTGTGTTGAATCTCAAATTCAAAATCAAATTTTCGAATACCGTTGACACCCCTACTAATGATGAGACACCACTCTTGTCATATTGGCTATTATACTTATCTTTTTTTTTTTAAAGGCTATACAATGGGGGCTATTATACTTATCTTGCAAGTCTTGGAACCCACAATCAAAAGGATCAAATTCAAATTGAATCAAGGAATATCTGAATTCGAATTCAATTAGAAATTTTGATATTGGAATTATATTCAAGATTACGAAATTTGACATTCAAATTCGAATTCAATTAATTAAATAGTAAAACATTCAATTTGATTTAAATTTGATCTGTTAATCTTTTAGATAATTAATCTTTATGTAATATAAACGTTTTATTTATATAAAATATAAAAATCTATAAATTATTTATATTATTTAAATATTATATATAAGAATTTTCTAAAACATTTAAACATTTTAGATATTATATATGAATTATATAATCGAATTCAGATATTTATTAGATTGAATATCCAAATTTGTTTCAAGCATATCGAATCCCAAATTCAAAATTGGATTTTTGGATACATGGACATCCCTAAAAAAGGATTCTGCATGTAGGAGCATGGAAAATTAAATAAACAACAAATAAATTGAAAATAATCTTATAGAGTCCATATTTCAATTATAAATAAATGACAGATAAATAAATTTTAAATAAACATATAGGATCCATATTTCCATTATAAGCCAGATGTACAGAACCTGCATACACATTTCAGGATATCCATCGTTTGACCGGAGTTCCATGCACTACAAGAAAGGGGCGAGGAATTTCTTCTTGGGCGGTCCGGACAAAGAGTAGTGTTGGGAAGTGTGAAAAGAACTTGTCATTGAGAAATCTATTAGATTACTTAATCTATGCAAACAATCATTATTTTCATTAGTTTTCATAAAAAATGTAATAATAAATTTCAAAGATTGATTCAATCAAATATCAACAAAAAGCTTAAATCCAAAATTTCATAATTAAAAATTAAAAACATTTGAAAGAACAAAGTTAAAACTAATGAGGTCAAATCACCAAAAAAGAATATAAGGCATTAATAAAAAATAATATAAAATTTTTGGAGTAGGTATGGAACAGTGTTTTAAAATGTGTGGGAGGCGTACGCCTAGAGGTACTCCCAAAACGCCTTTAGACATATGCCAGAAGCGTCGATACCTCTGAGATGTACACCTCATGTGTTTTTTATGAGGTGTGCTAGAGGTGTATGCCTCATGCACATCTTATATAAAAAGACAGAAAAAAATATATATAAAAGGAAAGGAAAGGAAAGGAAAAGAATGAAAAGAAAATGAAAAAAAAAAAAAAAAAGGAAAGGAAAGGACAAGGGAGATTTTCAACAGTTTTGATTGGATATTTGGACTTGGGTTGTCATCTGCCTTATGAAATGTCCCTACAAACTATTAATTGGAAGCACTGAGTACTGCAAATAACTGTTGAATGATCAAATTTGATATCATCCAAAAATCTGCTCCATCTTCAGTTCTAGTTCGTTCATTGTGAGATTCATAATGAAAGTATGGAAATCAGGAGACTAGGTTTGAACCCACCCATTACAGATTTTGACGATGAAGACAACCATGATGAAAATATATAGAGGTTTCCTCGTTGAGTCTCCTTTTCTTTTTGACTGGACTTATTAACTCGTTAATCTCATATATCTCCCCCATCATTTTCCGTTTGGACAAACACCGAGAAAATACAGTAGTCAAAAAGGGTGAACTCCGACGTCTGAAACACCTTCTATACCGTGGGCATGCAACTTTGTGTGGGACAATCCGCCATTGCCAGCTAGCTAAAGAAGCGCGTCTAAAGAATAGACATTTATGGGACCTGGTTCACTTCGACTATAACTTAGATAATGGATTGGAGATAAGGTCAAAGCCTCAATCATTTAGACGTAAATTCTACGGCCCACCTCTATAAGTTCTATTGATTGATGAAGTTGAACATCATCTTTGGCCTTTCGCGACCAATATTTATGAGGACCAGAGCGTGACGCGTTTTTGGAAACAGTGGTGAATGGTGATGGCGTCCTCCCTGGGAGATCATCCAAGCCTGTGTTTGGACTAAAATGATTGAACTTCTAAATTCTAATCTTCGGGGTCAATACTTTATTAGAACTTATCTATACTGAAAAAAAAAATCATTTAGAAAAAGGAGTTAAAACTGCAAGATGGGGACATATAATGTTTAAGGAAAAGTACTTTTCTTTACATTTTTGCTTTTAAATACTAATAATTTTGAAATATTTTGGTGAGGGGGTTCATTTTATTTCAGGTGAGTTTTATAAAATTTTCTAGCACTCGATTGGATGATGGTTTTGGATTATTGGGAAAAAAATCATTTTGAGTTAAGAAGACCTGAAAAATGAAAACGTTTTCAGATATTATTTTCCAAAATGTGTCTAAGTGGACTCAATTTGACTTGATGTTCCTGTTAAAAGGTTTGGAGTCTTGTCCTAGGATCCCCCCTACCTTCTCTCAGTGGGGTACATCGAGTGGTATGTCCCACTTAGTCGGGTCCTGTCCTTTCATTAGGTCCATTTTAAAGGTTTCTGCCTTGGTGGAAGGTTCCACCAAGGTCCCACTTAATTGGGTGATGTCACCCATGAACAATTGCCCAAAAAATCTTGAATAAAAATGTCCAGTAATATTTTTTTCTATGTTTGCTTGTCCAAACAATTTCCTAGTATTTCTAAATTGATCCTCAACAAAAAAATTAAGAAAATAATTATTAAAACAAAAAAAAAATAATATCTAATAAGCAAATGAACCCAAAGGGCATATAACTATCTGAGATGCAAATCGTCAGTTGTAATTCCATTTGGTTCTGATTTCTAATTAATCAAACAAGTCGCCAAATTTTTATTTTGTTGAAATTTAGGATGATCAAACAAGATGTCAGTTTCTGATTAGTTTCTACTCTAGTCATATCATACAATATATAAAAGAAGAAGATATTCACATTTGTTGAATAGCCTGATTTTCATTTCGACAGTGCACCCTATACTCAATGTTCAAAACATTATCAATGGCCCACTTTGAAAGGGAAACGCCAACAGGAAAAAAAGAAAAAAAAAATGTTCATTCACAGTGATCACTTTTGGTTTAAAGCCATGAATCATGGCCTTAGTGTTGTACTGTTGTGGTCCACCACGGCGTCATTTCATGTAATTTAAGGTGGAGCCATAACAATGCATCAGAGGCATTCATTTTGGCCGTATTTGGAATTAATGCCTTTTTTATAGGTGGTTTTTAGAAAACGGTGCTGTATTGGCATATCTTTTTTTTCATTGAGGTTTGTGGAAAAGATATGATATCTGAAAAACATAAATTAGAATCATAAACATGATAAATAAGGTGTTATTTATCAAAATTCATGGGTGGGTTTTGATTGGTCAAAAGTCTTTCCATACCATATCTTTTTCGCATCATAGATTTTCCCTTTTCATGAGCATTTTTTTCTTTTTTTATTTGATAGCATTGTTGTTGCTGCCACAGCCATTTTTCATCGTCATGTCAGCATAAATGAAAAAAAAAAACATCAAAAATATGTTTTCTAATACATATAGTTTTCAATTTTCAAGGCATGTTTTGAGAAAATGTTTTTTTGAAAAAACACAGAACCAAATATCAGGCATCGTTTGAAAACTAGATTTCAGACGTGGCACTGATGTTGCACCTTTTTGTGAAAAGCAGCATTGGTTCCAACATCCAAGTTCCAAACACCAACTTCATGGTTTTAATGGTGACGGGATATGCTCCTCACAAATGGGCGCCTCACATGTACATCCACCATGCATTGAGAACATCTCCCATGAATAAAATAGCAAATAAGTACAGGAGATGTTCCCAATGTATGATAGAATGTGTGTGAGGCGCCAGGTGTGAGGAGCAGATCCGGTCTCATCTTAGTGCGGGTTAAAACCATGTCTTAGCAAAAGTGGAGATCGGTGGTCTCATGCTGATTGTAACGGTAACTTGGGACCGAGCCCTGTGTCCCATCTCCACCTGGGCTTGGGGGATGGGTTACCCCGTTGTATAGTCCCATATAGCCAAAAAAAAAAAAAAAAATCCAGGCCACTAGCTTTCCATGGGCCTTGAGCTGTTTTAGCAAGGTTGTCCATACAGTTAACTGAAACCGATTTTAATTCGGCCCATAACCTTTCAGTGGGTTGAGTATTGGCCGGGCCGAGGTAGACCAAGTCCCATACTAAAAAGAAAATACATAGACCCAGTCATCGCTTGGACCCCAGATAGAAGGAGTGTCTAAGTAATAGATGCAGAACTAGCCTTACAATTAGTTGAATCAATTTTATGATAAATGGCAGAGCTGTCTTGGTAATTGGAAGATAAACCTGCTGGTTGTGGCTCTCTTTGTTATAGATAGGGGATGGGTCAGTTCAGGTCTGTCAAGTGGACCAGACCAGCTTGTGTCAGGGCCAATCTCAACCGAACCCAGCCTAAAGTAAGAACCATGGGATGGCTTAATGGGCCTTAAGCTAAATTTGGGCTTCGATCTGTTAGCAAAAGTTATGTTTGTGTCGTAACTAAATGAGCGCTTATGTTTGTGTCGTAACTAAATGAGCGCTAGCCCATCAAAACATTATGGCAAGACCTAGTACCAAATTTAGCTTATTAGCCCTGTGGACTGGACAGCACAGGCTATTAAGTTATCTCGATGTGTTCACACTTCACAGTCACACAGTACCACCAGAGAAAATTTTGGCTGTCCACCTTCAACAGCCTCCTCCACTATCAAAATTTTTTCCCCACCACCACGCCAGGTACAGGGGTCGGGTGTAATCGGGTATTCGATATTTCGGGTGGGTTCGTTCGAATTTTATAACCAATTTCTAATCCAAGTGTGCCCAAATTGTAATTAAAACTGTAAAACAGGTCGTGTTGGGCCAACATGGCATGCCCCGCATGCGGCTCCGCTAAGTGTAGGCTACGCCTCCCTCCCTTAGGATATTTTGGGGGGTTGGCCTGGCATAGCCCATAGCCCCGAGCCCATGTGGGCCCGTGCCATGCCATGAGTCGGGCTGGTCCATGGGCCATGTCTTGAGCCAAAGCTATGAAATGTTTATTTAATAAAATTGAAAAAAAAATCTTAAAATTTTTATTTTATATGAATTTTTATATATACAATAATTAAATAAAATAGCATAATAAAAATGAAAACAATTGTTTATTTTATTAATATATTATAATATATTATTTATAAATATATATGAGCCATGATGGACTGTGGCGCGAGCCGAACTGGGTCGTGCCGTGTGTTGGGCAGGGCTGACACATGGGCCACGGGCAACACGACACATGCTATGCCATACCAACCCACGGACATGAAACCCCTGACCTAACATGACACACAACTGTACCGTGCCTAACACGACCCGATTTACACCTCTAGCTAAGACTAAAACTTGGTCAGAACCCGCTAGCAGGATTCATTAGGCCACGACTGAGTCAATAAAAAGGAAAAGAATTCTTTAGGCTATGTTTGATTTGAAGAAAAAGGTAGGGAAAGGAAGGGAAAAGCATGAAACCTATATAAAGTTAGGTTTGTAAAGGTTTATCTACCTTTTTCTACTTGTTTGATTTAAAGGAAAAGGTAGGGAAAGGAAAAGAAAAGCAGGAAAACCTATTCACAGTTAGATTTGTAAAAGTTTCTCTACCTTTTCCTACTTTTTCCTTCAAACCAAACACAACTTTAAACGATCAATTCCTAATCAAGTATTAACAAATGAACTTAGACACGATCAGACACTAAAACACGCTTGACAATGGTCAGAGTGTTAGTACGTATACGTTTTATGTAATATGTAGTATGCAATATGTAATAGTTAGATTTATACTTTATAGAATATATATATATATATAGTGTCCATTTGATTCACAGTTAAAATGGGAATCCTTCCAAATCGAATGATCTATTCCCTTCACTTACTTGGTTCAGAGTGGAATCGGAATCAGAATCAGTATTGTTTGAAATAAAATCTCATTCCCAGGAGAAGGGAATGACATCACCACAAATGAGGGAATACTATTGCACCATTCGATTCCGTCCAACCAAATAATTGGAATCGGATTCGGACCCTATTCCCACAAATCAAACGGAAATCAATTTGTTCTGGAGCTTTTTTTTTTTTCTTGTATAACCAAAAGAAGTTCAAAATTCCAATGGTCCAAGTCCAAACTCTCAGCCTGTGACCGTGTCATTAACTTCTCGAGCGATCCATCCAACCGGGTCGTTTGCCGAGTCACACCTGCCACCATAAGATAGAAAAGAAAAATCAAAGCAAAATGTCAGATTCAGGTGTTTTACGCGGACGAACAGGAAAAGGAATTAATGGACGATTACGAAAAGTAATGAATGACCAAGACAAACAGCTCAAGATAAGCCTTTTCATGTTCTTCATCTAACCATTAATATATATTAGCCTGCTGCATGAACTCTTTCTGATCAGTTGCCTCAAGACATGGCCAATCATGTCAGATTCAATCCTCTGGTCTTCATTTGCCTCTTCTTCTTTGCCTTCCATTCTATCACCTGTACAAATTTCTCCTTCTCATCCTTCTCCCCAAATGATCACAACATCACTCTCAATGGAACCGCTGTTGTAGCCAATGTCTTTAACCACAACTCCATCCGTCTCAACGATAACCAAGTTGCCGGAAACGTATTTAACAGCTCTGGCCGAGCTCACTATTCCCAACCCATTCAATTATGGGATTCCATCACTAATTCCACCACAGATTTCACTACTTACTTTGAATTCTCTATCACGTTCTTTAGTGGAAATTCCAATTTGAGCTCAGGCGGCATAGCTTTCTTCTTAGCATCTGAAAACTCTTTGAGTACTATTCCATCCAATTCTTTTGCAGGATGGCTCGGTCTATTCAACGAAACTACGGATGCAGATCCTTCAAACCAGATGGTTGCGGTGGAGTTCGATACATTCCAAGATGAATGGGATCCTAGCAATAATCATGTAGGTATCAATGTGAACTCTATCATCTCCAAGGCTAACAGTACATGGAGCAATACCATGGTTAGTGGTGATACATTAGGAGCCAGGATCTCTTATAATGGAACCACCAAAAATCTCAGCGTTCACCTGAAAGACCCACAAGTTCCCGTCGATGCAGGATCGTTAAACCTTTCTTACAACGTGGACTTGACCGGAGTACTACCAGAAAGAGTGTTTGTTGGTTTCTCGGGATCCACTGGACGGGCAATCCCCGTCCAAGTGATCAGAAGTTGGAATTTCACGTCAACTTTGGATCTTGTCCTGCCACGAGCTGAAGACGATGAGGGTGATTCGAAGATATGGTTGGTAGGATTAGTAGTCTCGATTCTAGGTGTTGGAATAGTTCTGGGTGTCTTATGGAGAAACAGAAGGATGAGAATGGAAGATTATCAACAAGAGAATGACATGGATTTAGATGACTCCATGGATGAAGAATTTGAGAAAGGAACTGGGCCAAAGAGATTTTCCTGTAAGGAACTAGTCTCTGCAACTAATAACTTCTCCGAGGAAGGAAAACTTGGACAAGGGGGCTTTGGTGGTGTTTACAAGGGTTTCTCCAACGAGCTAAACATGGCAATTGCAGTAAAGAAAATATCGCGAGGGTCCAAACAAGGGAAGAAAGAGTACATGTCTGAGGTTAAGATAATAAGCCGCTTGAGACACCGAAACTTGGTTCAGCTCGTTGGTTGGAGCCATGAACGTGGGGAATTCCTTCTGGTTTACGAGTACATGCCCAATGGGAGTCTCGACTCGCATCTCTTTCACAAGAAAAGCACTCTGACGTGGGCACAGAGACACAAGATTTCTCTTGGGTTAGCGTCCGCATTGCTTTATCTGCACGAGGAATGGGAGAAATGCGTTGTTCATAGAGACATCAAGTCGAGCAATGTGATGCTGGATTCGAGCTTCAACGCCAAGCTGGGTGATTTCGGACTGGCTAGGCTAGTAGACCATGAGCTCGGCTCGCAGACAACTGTGTTAGCTGGGACCATGGGCTACATGGCTCCAGAGTGTCTCATCACGGGCAAGGCTAGTAAAGAGTCAGACGTGTTCAGCTTTGGCGTGGTGGCGTTGGAGATAGCTTGTGGGAGAAAGCCGGTGGAACAGAAGGCTGAAGAAGCTAATAAGGTGAGGTTGGTGGAATGGGTATGGGAGTTCTATGGAAGAGGAAGGATTCTGGAAGCAGTCGACGAGGCATTATGCGGTGAGTTTGAGGAGATGGAAGCGGAGTGTTTGATGATTGTTGGGCTATGGTGCGTTCACCCTGATCACAGTCTAAGGCCCTCCATTAAGCAAGCAATTCATGTTCTGAACTTTGAAGCTCCATTGCCTGATCTGCCCTGCAAGATGCCCGTGCCCACCTATTTGACCCCTTCACCAATGTTGTCCGACCAGTACTCGTTTACTTGGTCGAATCATCAGACCAGACAAACAGCAGCAGGGGCCTCAATGGCAACCAATTCTCTATCGATTGTGTAGAATGTGCTTTCTCCTCTGATATTCTGCTTTTTATATTATTCAAATTTGTTGGTGATGATGTATTGTTCAAACTTCAAAATGAAAAATCATTATTCTTCAAGGGATGAAGGGAATAGGGAATCCCTTTCGCAATATTGTACAAAGGGCTTCATTTAGCTACATGAAAGGGCTATGGGGCAGGTTTTGAATGAAAAAATGTTATGGGTTAGTCTAAAATTGGGACCAATGTCATAAAGCACAAAGCACCTAAAGTTGGGGCCTCATTTTTAGGTTAAGTTCCAAAGCGCAAAGCACAAAATCTAAAAGTGGGGCTTTGAGCTTTTGGGCTTTAAAAAGCACAAATCCTCAAATTTATTCAAACACAACTTAATTTATAAGTTTACAAGTTCATAAAATATATTGAAGATAATATTAATATTTTAAGGAATCGACTGGACGACTAATTGAGGCCCTCATAACTTACCAGGTGACGTCATTATCATGGCCCATCGATGAATGAGTCGGAGCCCATCTAAGAAGCGGCCCACATTAAGGATGGGCATGATCAACTGTCCTTGGCTCATTGATCTCAATGATCCATCAACAATTTTCAGAGGTTTCAAAGAATATTTAAATAGACCTCTTTACCACCTTTCAGTATTTACTTTTCTTTTTTTATACAGGTTTGGGAAGAAAAAGGCTAGACAAGGGAGTATTTGCTATGAAAAGTGAAAACATCGCTTTTGGCTCTATTTTAGTCTTTGAGATGGGTTCCATTGAATAGCGTTTCTGATCATCCTAATCTACGACAAATAGCAAGTTTTGATGATCCATATATCTATTATGGCTCCTGTATCCCAAAACCCAAGCTTGCTTTTTCATAATTTAAATGGTTTTTATTTTTCTTATTTTGGTAAGTGTTGTATAATTTTTTTAATATACAATAAACATTTGAATAAAAATTTCGAATAAATTCAGGCACAACCTAAGGTATAGCCGACCATCCCAAGGGTAGATCAAGTCAAACCCCAACTCAAGTTGCACCAGGTTCAGAATAACAATCTAGTTTTAACTTTTAAGCAGCAAGAGGCAGTTCAATAACAATTTTGGTCTTCGAGGTCATTTGTTTTCAATGTCACCCCTTCTGTAATTAAAAAAAAAAAAAACGAAGCATATTCTTGAAATACGTTTTTTGTTTTCAAAAGCTAATTTTTGTTTGTAAAAAACAATTCATGTTTATCAAATCATCAAAATAATGCTTTTTAAAACCAAAACAAATTTTAGAGTACAATTTTTTTTTTTTTGTATTTAGTGATACACACCATTAATAACCCGCCCTTCCCCAAAGTTGGTGGTTGCGGGAACCAAATCTATACTGGAGTTCATGGTTTTCGAACCACCATTGACCTAGATGGTTGGACTGTTCGGCCCGGGAACCATCCAAGCAATTGGTTTTGTTTTACCCAAATCCAGTCCCTAATCAAAAACCATTGAATCATTCAATGACCCGTCGATCCGAGTGGTCAAATCGTCAACCCATTCAACGGGTTTTGGCCGTTTTTTTATTATTATTATTATTTTTTCAGAACGAGTCATCCATTCGAACCAGAAGGTCGAATCATTGACCCGAAAACCGGTGGCCGATTCCACTTTTGGGTCGTTTTTTAAACCCATACTGGTGTTAACCATCTAGCAAACCAGCAGTACAAATATTATATGATCCATGAAGCATGAGTGTGTTTTAAAACATGTTCTTCAAACCAGAAATACAAAAAAAAAAGAAAAAAAAACAAATTTGAAAACAAAAAAAACACATATACAACCAAAAATGTGTTTTTATGTTTTTATTAAGAACCATTTTGCATTCAAAACCAGGTGATTTTGGTTTATATTTTGAAACTTACAACAAGAAAAACAATTAGCATCGGAGAACACCCCTAAATGTTATATTGGTATCAAAGTAAATATTACATTTAATTTTGTTATTTCTAATATTTTCATAACCTTCTTCTCTTGAGGTTGTAACATCATTTATGGGGTTTTCGCCTATACGTACATCAATATAAGAAGGGACCATTTGATAACGGCTGAAGTTGCTCAATTATATAAAATAATTAAAGAATGAAATATTCAAGGGTATAGTAAGTGACCTAATTTCAGCTTCAACTATCAAAGAGTTGGCAACCTCTTTAATAACATAGGTGATGTTTGGTATGGTTTATATTTATTTGAAGAATGTTTGTACTTGATTTATCTTTGAAACCAAGAAAAAGTGGTTTATAAATATTTTTCTATTGTTATTTGATAGGTAGGTGCCATTAAATATCATTATGTTACACATAAGCAGAACAGTAAATAAATACCTTAGTGTTGGTGAAAATCATGGTTTTTAAAAACAAATCGATGACCGAACCAATCAGGGGTCCAGTTACCGATTTGAACGGCCAGTCCGTTCTGACAAAAAAATTAAAAAAATAAAAAAATTGGAAAACGGTCAAAACGGTTCAAACGGTTCAAATGGTTCAAATGGTTCGAACGGTTAACTGGCCGGTTCAGCAGTTTGCTGACCAAAATCAACGATTTTAGGGGAAAAAACGGTTTTGGAGGAAAATAGAATCAGTTAGATGGCCGGTTCCCAATTTTTTCCATCCGACCATCCGGTCCAGACTGATTTTGAAAACAGTAGTGAAAACATTAAAATGAAGCTTCCCCTAACATTCGACTTACACATAAATTGAGAGAAATGTTTATTTGATAAATACTTATCAAATAACATTTTGGGACAAATGCCCACATGATGATGAACTGCCATTGTTTTACAAATGAACGAATGTCATACCAAACACCATCATATTTGTTAAAAGACGAAGAAAAAGTCATTCAGTTCAACTATTTCAGCAATTATCAAATATTTTAGTAGCAATTTGGTGATGCTGATCAAGCTATACGAGGCTTCATTCACGCCAGGGTTGACAGGCCTAACCTTTCAGGTCCAGGTCCATACCAGAGCCTAAATATACAAGCCCATAGGGATGGGCCTTCTCAAGAATATGCACCCCTGAGTGGAGAACTAGTAAGATGGAGACCGGCTCACTTGTCAGCCTAGTTATACAATTTACTTTTGCTACCATGTGGTTTTAGCCTGGGGTTAACCTTCTATGTGTTGTTGTGGCTCCATCTTGAGGTCACTTCATCGAAGGCCATGATTTTTCAGTTTTATCCCAGTTCTAAAACCATGTCTAGCGGGTGAGTTTACATCTATACTCAACGGATCGTGCCCCACAAACACTCCGCATGTATATCTCAGTGTGCATTATAAATATCTCTCATACTTGTCACTGGGAGATGTTTTAAATATACGATTAGAATATGTTGTGGGGCACAGATGTGAATTTTTAACAGGAGTGAATTTGTTATATATATATAGATAAATAGATAGATAGAATCGGCATCATTCAAATTTTCCCTTGTGGGCCTCATATATTTTATGAGTTCAGATCAGGTCCCAGTAGCCTTTGCAGCCATTTGGGATCAATTGTTGGGACTAGATCCGGTCTCATTTTATCACTGGCGTTATCGTTGGTTCCACAACCAGACAAACACAAAACTTAGCAGTAGCACCCAGCCCAAAGATCAAAACAAGAATTAGGAAGGAGTCGTTAATTCTTGATTTAACATCATACCCTTTCTTATTAATTTTCCTTCCTAAGTCTCTATGTTCGTTCTCTGCTGATTAGGTGATTAACCCTCGTCTTCTTCCTCGTTACTACGGGCCAAATTGTGAGAGCTGAGCTGAAGATTCAGTTGAGTTGGTACATCCTTTAAAATGACTAACTGACAGCGGATTTGGGCTCTCCAGATTTGCCAACAAGCATAATTTATAAGTTATCCATATGGGGCCCATCTGGGAAAGCCAGAAGCCGCTGTGTTTCAGCCCTCCCAAATGGATAATCTACCCGTGTACCTTGCTACTCTGCTTTTTGGCTCCAACTAAAAGTGGTAAATCTCCCGCAATGGATATTTGGCATGAAAACAAAGGCAGCTTGTTTGATTCTCCCAATTTTATTAGCAAGTATAAATTTTTGCTGATATAAACAATAAGGTCATTAAATTTTGCTTCGGTTCAGTTTGGAAAGAGTATAAATATAAATATATACAACACAAATACATATAACATAGTACGAAATATAAAGTTTTGCACTCTAAATATTTGTATTTGTACTCTTTCCGAACTGAGCCTTCATGAGGTCATTAATGTTGTCATTGTTTCACAAAAAACTAAGAGAAAATAAAAATTTGAGGAAAATTTCTTAACTAATTTTACAAATTTTGTTAAAAAAGCATTCTCAGAACCTTGGAAAGGACTTGACTCCTACACATTGGAGGACATGTGCCCTACCATAGCCATTTTAAACACAGATTTTAGGGTTTAGGGTTAGGGTTTAGGAATTAAGGATTTAGAGTTTAGTTTTTAGGATTTGGGGTTTAAGATTTTAGGGTTAGGGTTGTTAATGCTATCCTGGTTTCGCAGAAAATAATAGGAGAAAAACAGAAGTTTGTGGGAATTTCTTAACTAATTTTATCAATTTTATTAAAAAGTATTCTCTCAACTTTGGAAAATACTTGGCTCCTAAGTCCTACTATGTTGGAGGACATGTGCCCTACCATAGCCATTTACACATTGATTTTAGGGTTTAGGGTTATGGTTTCAAGGGTTTAGGATTTTTTTTTTATATGTTCTTGAGGGCTACACAATGGGGAGTAGCCCATCTCCCAACTCAGGTGGAGGCAGGATTCAATTTCAAGTCTCTGCTACGATCAGCAAGAAACTTTACCAACTAGCTGGTTGGTACCTTGCGGGTTAGGAATTAAGGATTTAGAGCTTAGATTTTAGAGTTCAGGGTTAGGGTTAAAGTTTAGGTTTTAGATTTTAGAGTTTAGGGTTTAGGGGCTTATAGTTTAGTGTTTAGACTTTAGACTTTAGGGACTTAAGGTTTAGGATTTAAGGGTTTAGAGTTTAGACTTCAGGGTTAGGGTTTAATATTTAAAGGCTTATAGTTTAGATTTTAGGGTTTTAGGTTTAAGAATTTAGGGTTTAGATCTAAAAGCGAGGGGTTGATAGGACGTGTATACTCCAACATGGTAGGAGTATGTATTGCATCCCCCTGAACTTTTTTCTCTTATGTTCCCCATCATACAAAATATACCTCAGTCTTTACCACAACAAAACAAAAGGTAAAATATAAAAGCCTCCCTTGAGATTGCTAACAATTATAAAAACCTCCCATGATTACATGATGTTTTTTAACAAAAACCTTCACCGTAGTTTTGAAAAAACATGTAATTACTTGCTGTCCTCATTGTCCTAGACAGATGATGTATTATATTTTTTTAAAATACCCATTTTACCTGTAATTACTAAAACACCCACAAAGAGCTTTTAACTTTTAACTAAAAAATCCCCCAAGTCAAGTTGAATAGAGAAAAATGTTTTTACCTTGTAAACTCATCATGTAGTGAAATTTAAAAGGGTAAAATTGACATTTTGAATCATGTTAAAAAATACTCTAACAAGTAATTAATAACAGTAATTTCTTAGCTTCCACTTCCAATCTCCTTTAATGGAACAATGACAGAAGGGAGGTAAATACAAATTTTTTTTTTTACAAAATTACTGTTAAAGTGAAATCTCAGGGGAGGGAGGTTTTCATGATTGCCAAAAGCCTTGGGGGAAGATTTTATATTTATACCCAAGAGACTCCGTGAGATTGGCTAAGGCGGCATCCCTAGGCTATTTTGGAATAACAACCTACATGTATATTGACCCAAATGACCTAGCTATAGCTGAATAAGCCACACAGAATCCCTCCCATAGTAGTGTATATGTATTATGTAATACCAAAAGAAACAAAGAAAACATCAAACACACAAATGTCATGGAAAGCTCATCAGCCTTTATTGCCTTTCTGGCATAATAACCCCAGACCCCAATCCCATGCATCAAATCTACACCACACAGTTTAACCTTTGACAAATCCTGAACAGTGGAGATGGCTACAGGTTTGGCCCACAGCCCACTATCCCTCACTATGCTTATCATCAAATCCTGCACTCTCTTCAGGTGTGGGGACAGAATAGGGTGCAAATGAGGTCTATTGACCTTATCACTGAGAGCCTGCGATTCTATAGGTTTGATCCTTCATTTTCTGAGGGATGTTATTGAGTGACCATTTCAATTAATGGGTCATTGGTTTTCACCACTTTGATCCATAGTGGAGATAAGATTACCAAAAGTTCACCATGTGGCGTTTGATTGGTCAAACTCTCAAATGTGAAAGTGGGTAGGTATGGTATGAAGAAATCTTACAGTTTTAAAGTTTGACCAATTAAAGCCACTCCTGTGAATTTTGATGAATTCTAACTGTTAGTAAAATTAGTTTTTTGTTTTTTGTTTTTTTTTTGGTTTTCCGGTGATACGCCCAAATCCCTTATAGGAGCCGTTTGAATAGTGTAGCACCACATTTAGCTTAAAGATAGTTTAAGACTACGAGATGCAGACCGGTTTTACTCCTTCATTTTTTAACTCTCAAACTTCTCCATTCTAATTAAAATTATTGCAAGTGATCTAATTTGCTTTAATCTCTGTCCGCTACTCTGTCGTTTCTCCTCTGTGTCTTATAATTTTCACCGATCTCACGGTGTATTATAAGGTTTTTAAAATAGAATCAGATAATGAATCCGTCAGGGATTTGATTTTTAGGTTGAACTGTCCGACTGTTTGAATCAAACAGATGGTCCATTCTAACAATAAAATTAAAAAAAAATGCCAAAACTATTGAATGATTCGACTGTCTGAATCAGTGATTTGCTAATTAAATCCACGGTTTTTTATAAAATAACGATTCTCAGATAAAACAGAACCAGACCAATTCCTAGTTTTCAAGTCTGACCATCCAGTCCGGTCCTGTCCGATTTTGAAAACGATGATGTATTATTTCGCTTAGTGCAATGGTTGGTCATCACTCATCACCTCCGCTCTCATGTGACCAAATACATGACATATGACCTCGAGTAGATCATCTATAGGGCATGGGCCCGGCCACCTTCAAAAAATCCGGGTCATTTAAAACTTCGTTGGTCTGTTTTTGCGGACCCAACTGTTGCAAAAAACGTTGTTGTGCGCACCACGTAAGACACTGTAAGAATAGTAAATTTTTGGATGTTTCATTTATAAAGGGGTAATTGGAGTTCAGTCCACCCCCAGAATTCATAATGCGAATCGTACAGGAGAATGATGTTTACAGGGGTGGGGATAATTACATTTGGAGAATTAATTATGAATTATGAGGTGGAGTGAACCTAAAAAGTCTTTTAATAAATATCTTAGGCGCCTTTTTAATAAATATCCTAAGCTTATATCCGAGTTCCACTTCGGTTGAAGCAGTCTTTACTGCCTTGCATTTAGAATATCTACATATTTGTATGTTTTATTTCATAAAAAAATATTTTCAATAAGATTGGAAAAGGCTGTTAGAAGGGTGTGGGCACAGGTTTGCCCTGATGGAAGCCGACGGCATATCCTTGATATAGTGTGAGGATGAATTTGTTAGTTCTAACAAAAAGTATGTCAATTGTCCCCAATTTAGGAGCTGTTCTTTCCGTGGTTGTGTGTGTTTCATTTAATTCATGAAAAAAATATATTAATCTTCTAAATAACTTCTCAATTTAAGAAGTTTTTTGCGTTCAAATATTTTCCTTTTGTTGCTGATTCTATAATCAACAAGCCATGATTCCTGAACCAGCTTAGATATCAAACTCTGATGAGCATATGTTGATTTTCCTTTTTCTCCCTCTTTTCTTTTCCTTTCATTTCTGGGATTTTTTTTCATTCCTCTTAATTTCTTTGTATTAATGAAGATCTAGGTGTCCATAGTTCACCTGTGCAATCTTGGATATAACTCCTATTATAACCACCACAACAGTTAAGCACAAGGATTGAAGGAATGGCGGACAAGTAAAGTGATGATAAGCCTCGCTGGTGGTGGAAAGGGGGGAGAGAGAGAGAGTGTGTGGAGAAAGAATGTCGGCTAAGCAATGTGAAGCTTGGCTCTTGAGAAAGACGCCGTCCGGATCCAGATTAAACAGGTGAGATATATAAATTTCTACTTTGAATTCATTGTGGGTTAAAAAAACAGAAGTGGGTGATCTGATATTCCCTTTCTTTGTAAGTTAAGAATTTATCACTTCTGGGGCTCCTTTTGGCAAGTCGAAAAGCTTTGAGAACTCATATTGGAAGGTTGTTGACGGAGCTAGCACAACCCCAAAACAATGGCACCGATCGCTGTGCGACTGCAGATACAAGATCGATATGTATTTCTTTTTTTTTTCTTTTTCTTTTTATTCTTGTATCTTCATTTCTTTTGTTGCATGCTTTGTACTGTCAACGTTGAATTGTTTTATTGGGTTTCCGACGATCGATCTCATGAACTCCATGATCAACAGAGGTTAACAAGGAAATTGATTTTGTAGGTGGTGATGGACAACGGCCTCCTGCAAGTAACTCTGTCAAAACCAGAGGGAATTGTCACCGGAATACAATTCAACGGCATCGACAATTTACTAGAGGTTGTCGATGGAAAAGATAATTATGGAGGGTACAAATTTTACTTGTAAACTTATTTACTATTCTGTTCCTTCTCTCTCTCTCTTTATTTGTCACAAATCAAAGATCGGAAACTCTGGAAAATGTTATTGAGGAATTGCTTAGAATGCTTCTAGGGACAAAGATCAGTTTAGGTTGGGTTGAATCTAGGCTTTTGGAATCAGAATCCATCCTCTCAATATAGGTTCCAAGGTTAATGACAATAATTACATATTTCAAATTCACATAGTGATCCAATCTCAAAGAAAATAAAACACAATCATTACTAAATCACAATTTATTCACAATTTAATTAAATGCAATCTCAATGCAAATAAAGTGTAATCCATAATCAATCTAAACAATACAGTATAATTAATACATAATCAATCCATCATTCAAAGTAATTAATAGGTTAAGTTCAAATTACATTAGAAGCCAAATCTCATAACCATAAAAAGAAAAGAACCAATCTCCCAATTTTCATTGTCACTAATACAATTTAATTAAACCAGTTCCACCAAAACCAATTAAGACCAGTTCTCGAGTTTGGTTTGGTTTGGTTCAGATAAAATAAACCCCCATAACCTAGAACCAGCTTGGGTGGAAGTCAGTTTCAAGAATTTAGAACTGTACCCTATTCAATAACTGATTGGAGTAATGCCACTTCGAAATTGGCTCTAGCTAATTGATTGAAGGTAGAACCGATCCATTTACTCACCCCTGGTTATTAGTAAATTTTTTTTCCTTTTCCCCTTTTTGTTACTTCAGAAGAAGAAGCATAGTTAACACTTGTCTATGTAATGATCAAAGCTCAATCGTCTGACTAAGATTTTTTTTAGCTTTTTCTTAATCAGTTGATTTGGCCAAATTCCAAGTTGGCTTGTAAAATCGCAAGTCATTATGTAACACCTCTACTCAGTATATATCGTTAACCATATATAACTAAGAAAAATTGGCAGTCTACTTATTTACATAAAATACATTATATTCTGTATTTTGGAAAGAGCATTTACACAATTGTGCACTTACAAAAAATGAAAAAAAAATATGTAAATAAGTGAATTATTCATTAAAAATACAATAATACCATAGTTTTTTTTGAAAAAAAAATGCTACTCTATGACTCAAAACAGTATCATACTGTGAAAATATGGTTTTCAAAACTGGATCGGACGATCAGACCGAAAAAATCGGGAACATGTCAGGTGACCGGTTCTGTTTTATCTTAGAATCGTTATTTTGCAAAAAAACGTTGATTTGGTTAGCAAACTGTTGATCCAGGCGATCAAACCATCCAATGGTTTTGACCATTTTTTTTATTGTTTTGTCAAAGTGGGTCATTCGTTCAATTCAAACGATTGGAACATTTGACTCAGGAATCGGACCCCTGACCGATTCGTTGTCCAATTCGATTTTAAAAACCTTGTGTAAAAACATTATAAGGTGTAAAATGTTACAAAATGGAGGCTGTGAACATTGCCAATGTTCACAGGATTTAAACCATGCAAAATTTACAACCAAATTAAGTATGCAAAATTTACAGCACTATAGTTTTTTTGTGGTACTGGTACATTGAAAAATGTGTCCAAAGTTTATCTTCTCTCCTTGAACGAAGGATGCAAGTGGAATGCTCAGTTAATTAACAATCTGAATTTCAGCCTGAAAAAAAAAATATTGAACTTAAAAAAGAATAATGACCATCCTTCAAGATTCAGGTGGAGTTGATGATTTGGATCAACGATCAACATAAAAAGTTCACGGAAAATTCTTCAGAAATAAAAACATGTAAAATTTCATGGGGCATCACTTTCGTGTGTTTTTATTCTTTGTTATGTAAGTGTTTATGCAAATGATATTAGTTGACTTGGTTATAACCAAATCCGCAGGTACTGGGATGTTGTTTGGAATGGAGCAAAAGCCAGCGGAATATTTGATGTGTAAGTCACTCCTCTCTATATAAAAAGATAATGAGAAAAAGAAAGAAGTAAAACAAAAAAGGGTTGAACTATGATATCGAAAAGATATGATATTTGAAAAACATTTGACGAATTAATTGAAATCATAAATGTGGTAGCCAATCAGGTGTTATTTATTAAAATTTATGAGTGGATTTTGAATGATCAAATTAGGTTGGGTTGGGCTAAGAGTTTGTTAAATTTTCGACTTGGGTCAGGTTGGGCCAAGATATAGATGAAAGATCTCCAAATAGGGAAGTCCGACTTGCACCGCAAATCTTACTTAGCTGGGGCCAAGCAGAGGACAGCCCAAGAACATCCTGCTTGAACTTTGCCTTCTGGGTTTAGGGTAGGTCCAGTCTGGACTATATATAATTATAGGATAAATGTCATATATGTTTAATTTTAGGAAAAATTATCAGTATATCAGAAGAAAAGTGGAGTGGGGCAATTAAAAGTGGAACAAAGAAGAGAAATAAAATTGAATTTTATCCAAATTATAAATTCAACTTTGCTCTACATATAATGTTGGTGGCGAACAACCCAGAAAGATTCAAAGAGAGGTTAAGATCATTAAATTGAACTAGTATGTTGGAAACGGTAAGCATCTTACTTGGTTCTATTGTTGGTTGGACCGGGTTAATTCTTCTTCAGGATAAAGGGAACAAGTTTTAAGGTAATAAAGGAAGATGAAGACCAGGTGGAGCTTTCCTTCACAAGAACATGGGATCCATCCCTTGAGGACAAAGTCATCCCTCTGAATATAGATAAAAGGTCTGATTTCTGTAGTTTTCCCTTCTCGTCATCACTCATCAGTAGAGTACTTAGTTTTTTTTTTTTCTTTTTTTTTTTACTGCAAATTTGCAGGTTTATAATGCTGCGTGGGTGCTCCGGCTTCTACTCCTATGCCATTTATGAGCACTTGAATGAATGGCCTGAATTCAGCCTTGGTGAAACCAGGATTGCCTTCAAGCTTAAGAAAGACAAGTAAGATCATGACATCAATAATCAATTCCCCTCTTCACCTGGTTCCATTGTTATTACTATAGCTGATAGTGTTAATGGGCCGGTTTGGACCATGCCCAGGTCTGTCTTAATCCACCAGTATACAAGCTGCTAAAAGAATAAAAAATGGTCTTTTCCCATTTGATATCGCATAGACCGAAAGACCTGAATACGAGCATACAGAAAGATGAAAAAAAAATGAAAATTGGGAAACTTCAAATGAAGCTTTTAGTCTTTTCTATGTTTTTAACAGTCTGATAGAATTGGTAGATCACAACGTGAACCAAACAGTTTTGGTCTTTAAAGATAAGACCCCAAAAGCTTAACGTATCTTCTTGTTTACTGGGCTGTTGAAAGATCTACCTAGAAAGACTTGCCATACAGCCCCAAGTCATCCCTGAATGCAAATTAACATTAACATCAAGGATGTGAGAATGTAGGTTCCATTACATGGCTATTGCAGACAATAGGCAAAGGCCCATGCCTCTGCCGGATGACCGGACAAAAGGACGTTGCCAATCCCTTGCCTACGCTGAAGCAGTTCTCTTAACAAATCCAATAGAACCAGAATTCAAAGGAGAGGTTCTCTCTCTTTCTCTCTCTCTCAAAGTCTCAATAGAGGCTTAGAGAAATTGATATAATGAATAATGCAACAGGTGGATGACAAGTACCAGTATTCATGCGAGAACAAGGATAACAAGGTCCATGGGTGGATATGCATGGACCCTCCAGTGGGCTTCTGGCAGATCACACCCAGCGATGAGTTCAGAACTTGTGGGCCATTAAAGCAAAACCTCACCTCTCATGTGGGCCCTACGACCCTTGCCGTAAGTATTTCCACACTTCTACATGTTTTCAAAAGTTTTTTTTTTTTTCTATCATGTTCTCAATTCTCATAACTAATTTGGCATCTTCAGATGTTTCATAGTACTCATTACGCCGGACCGGATCTTGGGCCAAAATTCCAGCAGGGAGAAGCATGGAAGAAGGTTTTTGGGCCTGTTTTCATTTATCTTAATTCGGCCTTCATTGGGGAGGATCCACTGTCGCTCTGGAATGATGCAAAAACGCAGGTTTTGAGTTTTGACGTTTTGTTTCAATTCCCTCTGCAAATTTCTATATCTTCATGTATTTGAAGAATAAATAACCTAAACTCGACACATGCTTCTTTAGATGCTGACCGAAGCCCAAAGCTGGCCATACAGTTTCCCGGCTTCAGAGGATTTCCCTTTTTCAGATCAACGAGGCACTGTTAGCGGTAGACTACTCGTCCATGATAGGTGTATCCCTCTCTCGTTCAACTTCTGTAGCTCTATTCCTTCGCTTCAAGTCTGTCAAATTGTCAATCTACTCCGTCTCTCTTGTTCTTAATGATTCTACGCCTACAGCTACGTCGATGAAGAGTGGGTACCTGCAAACTCTGCTTATGTTGGTTTGGCTTTGCCTGGTGAAGTTGGGTCCTGGCAAAGAGAATGCAAGGTTGTGTTCTGTTTAAACTATCTCCGGCCGAAAGTTACATTGTCATTCTCCATCATAAACCTTAAGCTTTGATTACTTTCTCAGGGTTACCAGTTCTGGACTAGAGCTGACGAGAACGGGTTTTTCTCTATCAGCAACATACGCGCTGGAGACTACAATCTCTATGCATGGGTTCCTGGATTTATTGGGGATTACAAATACGAAGTTGTCCTTACCATCACTGGAGGTCTGAGACTCCCGATTTTCTTTTAAGTTTCTTCAGAGTTGATCTAATTACATGAAACGTTACACCTTTGCCATTTGCTTCAACATTCAAAATCAGGATGTACGGTCGACCTGGGTGAAATCGTATACGAACCTCCTAGAGATGGGCCAACCTTGTGGGAGATAGGCATTCCTGATAGATCTGCAGCAGAGTTCTACGTTCCTGATCCTAACCCCAACTACGTAAACAAGCTTTACGTCAATCATCCAGACAGGTTAGCCTATGATAGAAGATTACTTCAACGGTGTACACTGTGTGTTTGTTGTAAGTGGTTTTTAGTTATTAACCTTCATACTTCCAACTTTGGTTTACAGGTTTAGGCAGTATGGACTGTGGGATCGATATACAGAATTATATCCCGACGGAGATCTGGTCTTCACGATTGGAGCAAGCGACTACATGAAGGATTGGTTCTTTGCTCAAGTTAACAGGTGAGGATCTTTCAACCCCCTAACTTGAATTTGTTCTCTCCATCCTTTTTTTCTATGTTTTTGTTTATACTAGTAAATATGACAGCATCTTCACGACAACTATTTACAATTCATGGACAGTCTTTGAACAATTATAAGTGGTCACTAAGTGGTCAGTTTTTGGAGTGAGAGTAAAGGATATATATGGGCCCTCTTTATGCCCATTGTATTACACATGTACGTGTAGATAGATTAACAAACTAGTAAACATGTACGTGTATTTAAATAGACATGGCAATATCTCTAAGACAAATGTAATTTATAGACAGTTTCTTAATAGTTATAAGTGGTTAGTTTCTAAACGGGTATAAGTGAGCAGTTTCTAAAGCGATAATAAAAGACATATATACCCTCTTTATGCCCGTTGTATGCTTAGACAGGGAGGATAGAAAGCGTCCAATGAAAATTCTAGAAAGAATGGGCATTTGCTCTTTTATAGGTGGTATAGATATAGATATAGATTAGGCATGACCACCCAAGTATTTGATAATTGGTCAAAATCTATGATGCATGAATTGCATTATGAAAGAAAAAAAAAAAAAAATTGTTGAACCTAATATTGTTAAAAAATTGTGATAGTAAATACACCTTATGAAATATGAATCAATGAAAAATAAATAGATCGTATGACATTATCACCGCCACAAATATTTATAGATAAAACTTGATAATTGTAGACACTCACTGCAGGAAGAAAGATAACGGATATCAGGCAACAACATGGCAAATTAAATTCAAACTCGATAGCGTGAACCGAACCGGAAAGTATAAGTTGCGATTGGCACTTGCATCAGCCACGCTTTCTGAGTTACAGGTATGGAACCCAACTTAACTCCCGAGCAAAATTTAGTCCTTTCTTAGGTTAAATTGGACTAATTGAATTCACTCTCTGTGATTAGGTTCGATTCAATGATCCCAAAGCGAACCGACCTCACTTTACAACAGGGCTAATAGGGAGAGACAACTCAATTGCAAGACATGGCATTCACGGATTGTATTGGCTGTACAATGTTGATGTACCAGGCACTCGACTTGTGGAAGGAGACAATACCATTTTCTTAACTCAACCAAGAAGCTCCAGCCCATTCCAAGGGATAATGTATGACTATATTCGTTTAGAAGGGCCCTCAACAACTGATCCAAACAAGAACAAATAAGGTTACTAATTATCTCCATAAGAATTATTTACATTGCTGGGGAAAGCCCACCAACAGTTTCCCTTCTTTTGGTTTCTTTGAGGAGAGTAGGTCAAAGCTTGTATTTGAAAACAAGCGAGATCCTGTGATCTGAAAATAATGAATTAAAAGTGGAAACTTGTGTAGTTACATGCTTTATATTCTGTCTACAGTAGATTGAATGTTATTTGAAAATGGATGGTGATCATATGGCTGAGTTTCTTTGTAATACAAACGCTGAACCGGAGTATTTATGTACCCCGGTTTGAATTTATAAACATTTTTTTGACATACAAAAATGCAATGATTGAGAAGTCAAAAATGTGTTTTTGACAATTTTATATCATGATGAGAGAGCATCGGATAATTGGTGCTTTTGACCAAAAGTTTAAGCATTGGAGCATTAGTAAAAAGAGCATTTAATTATAAGGCCTATGCTTTGCATCAATTTTAAAACAAACAGAAAGAATACAAAAGCAATTACATTGCGAACCCACTTTACATTCTTTAAAATATTTATAGAAAGTACATATTTGTGTTTGCATGATCTACAACCAAATGCAATCTATAGATCAGATTCAGTAAAAAGGTGTTTGTACATGAAGTATTTTATAAAATCCATTCCTATCTCATAGTGATAGTTTCATACTTCCAAGGGCAAGCTTATTCAATAGTCAACACCCAGGGCAAGTATTATTTCTTACGAAAAGTGGTTGGGGCCATTGTTTAACTGAATTAGTTAATAAAATAATTAGATAATAAAACTTATCAGCTTCAGCCTTCAACCATAAAAGAACCCACGACCTCCAAAAAATTCACTGAAAAGACAAAACAATAATCAATTCAGTTCAGCCATTTTTTAGCACGGCCCCTTGCCCTTTAATCAGTTAGTCTCAAACTTAACTTTTTTAATCCTTTGGGACATTAGTAAAATAACCATAATGGTTTCAAAGTCCTTATGAAGACAAGTAATCAAAGCATGGCGTGCATGACTTTTTTACAACTTTTTATATTTTATATTTTTAATTTTTATATGTATTTGAGTTTTTGTTATATAGTTATATATGACATCATGGTTGGCCCATTTGATTTGAAAGAAAAAATTATTTCATTCTTGCGTGGCTTTAACTTTTCTATTCAATTTTCATAATTAATTAATAAAATAATTTTTGCTCATCATACATATATTTGCTTAACATGATAAATGCAGAATATTTGAAATGTGCCAAACTTTTCTTTAGATGTTATGTATTTGTATATTGTTTTGTATTTTTATATATTTTTTAATTTTTATTATTTAATTTTGATATCATTGGTTAACCCATTTTACCCAAACGGTTGGGCTGTTACTCCATCACTTTGATGAAAAAATATATTTTCGAGTTAGTTTTAATTTTTTATTAACACTAGCAAATGTGTACTTGCTTTGCACATGACACTTTTAGATGATGATGATTATGTATATCCACAATTTACCAGTTTTTTATATTTCTACCTATATAAAAATAATTCGTATTTATCACACTTATATTTGTTTAATATGGTGGATGTGCTCGGTGTTTTCTACAAAAGTTTTATAATTTTTTTTTATTTTATTGTTTACTTATAAAATCAAGGGTTGGCACATTCAACCCAAAAGGCTAATTTGTTAGCCTACCAATAAATGGAAAAATAATTTCATTTTTGGGTCGATTTAAATTTTTTATTGCATTTCCATCATCAATAAAAACAAGTGCTATTTAACACTTGCTTTTCTTTAATTCAATCAATATCAAATATTATTGATGTGCTAAAATGTTTTTCTATAAAATTTTTGTATTGCTTTCAATTTCTGTGTTTTTATCTTTTTTTTATTTTGTATTACTTAATTATGACATCAATTGTTAGCACATTTGATGTGAAAGGTTGAATTTTTCACCCATCACCAAACAATACAACAATTTGATTTTTGGGTCAGTTTTAAATTTTGTCTTAAATTAATCATTAAATAAAAGGTATTTGAGATCTACCCAAAATTTTCCACATTTTTATGTTTGTTACTTTTTGTATTTATTTCTATTTAAAATTTTATGTTATTTAACTATGACATCATGGATTGGCTCATTTGACTTATGGTTGAATTTTTTTACCCACCACTTGGAAAGAAGAACAATTCTGTTCTTGGATTGGTTTAAAATAAACATGGGTTTTATATTGTTAAATGTACTGAACTTAGATCTAATTAGTAACATTTATAAGCAGCGTTTTTGAACCGTCATTGACCCAGATGGTCGGACCATTCGGACCGGAAATCGATCACCCGAACAGTTCTGGTTTTACCCCGAACCGTCATCTAGCCCAAAACCATTGAAATAGTCAAAAACCCGTTGACCCATACGATCGAATCGTTGACCTATTCGACCCGGCCAATGGTTAGCAATTTGACATTTATATTTATTTTTATTTATTATTTTATTTTAAAATAAAAATAAAACAAAAAAATAAAATGACAAACATATCCCAAATTCTAAACATTTGATGATTCCTCTCTATAGGGTTTTGTTTTGCAAAAACTGAAAACCCAACATCTTCACCAACTTCACCAAAGAAGACGACGGCAGCATACCGACACCTACCTTCCCGAAGTCTAAACCACCCGTCGGTAACCAAGATTTGCAGCGGCAGACAATGAACACAATGGCACATTCAGTTTCTGAACATCTTTGATCTCTTGAAAGGAACAACATCTCTTGAAGAGAACGGCGGCGATCACTGTGGACATCCAACCTCCAACGACCAATCTTCACTACTATTGCCTGCAACCACTCCAGAAGGAGTACAACAACAACTATAAGGTAAAAAACTTGCATGTGATTGTGTTTTTTTTCATTTTTCTCTCATTTGATCTCTGTATTCCAATTTTACACCAAGAACCACCAATCTCTGTGCATTAAGCCATTAACTCATTTCCATTTTTTTTACAATACTACGATTTCCTACATCAAGAACCACCATTTGCGCTGGTGACCACTCCATTGGAGCTGAGAACCACTGTATTTTTCTAGTATTTCTTGCAATACTATAATTTCTTTTTCCTATATTTTTCTACACACTTTTTGTATTTTATTTTTTATGGTATTTTTTATTATATATAAATATTTTTTTGTTTTTTAATTTCTTTATGACATCATGGGTCAAACCGCTTGACCAGGATGATTGAACCGCTAAACCAGAAAACGGTGCCCAAAACGGTTCCATTTCCGGGTTGGAATTTAAAACCTTGTTTATAAGTGAGAATAAAACATCTTAAATATTGGATACAATGAGAGATAATGGGAATTAATACCTTAAATATGATACTTAATGAGAGGGAATTAAATGAAGTGAAAAATAGTAGTCGGAATGCCCTTAGACTTATAGATTGACAAAATTCAAAGATAGGGGCATTTTAGTCAAGAAGAAAATTTCCACCCCATTCATACTTTTAATAGTAGTATAGATATAGATATATATGTTTTTCTATAAATTTCTGTATTTTTATATAGATATATATGTTGATCAATTTAACATAAAAGATTGAACCATTTACCCACCACCTAAATATGAAATGGTTTCTTTTCTTAGTTAATTTAAAATTTTTCATTTCATTTCCATCATTAATAAAACACTTCTTATGCATCATATTTGTTTTTTAATATGATTATTATATAATATTAGAGACGTGTCTAAATTTTTAATAGATTTTTTATATATTTTATTCATTTTTTAATTTTATTATTTCAGTATGACATCACGGATTGAACCATTGGAATAAAATTACCTCAAAGATAGGGTTTAATGAGAAAGAATGGGAGTTTATATGACTTAATGAAAGGGAATTGAATTAAGTGAAAAGTAATAATTTAAATTACATTTTCTACTCTCACAGCTAGAGAGGGATCAAATTCAAGAGTGTGGGCATTTTAGTCAGGAAAAGTCAAAAAACATAAGATTTAACGAGAGGAAGTTAAGAAAAAGTCAAAAAAAATATAAGATTTAATGAGAGGAAATGTAAATTAATACTTTAGATACAGTACTTAATGAGGAGAAATAGATTGAAATTAAAAAATAGTAGTTCAAGTTATATTTTGGCTCTTGCAATAAAGGCGAACCAAATTCAATGATAGGGTTGCTTTAATCAAAAACAATTCTAGAATCTAGAACCCAATCCCACTTTTAATAGTATTGTAGATATAGAAAGATTATGGGTGTAATTTTAAATGATCCCTTTGAACAATAAGCACACATACCCTCAAGGCTTTAAGGATCATCTAATAAATGCTTAGTTTATATTTGAGTTACCGAGGCACCCAGCCAACCCACACCACATAAGCACAGAGTACAGATTTCTCCAAACCTAACAACCGTTTCTTTGCTATTTAAGGCAGCTGAGCATGAAACATGAAGATCAAGCGTCTTTCGTGCCCTTGGTTCTGGTTGTGATAGTTTTTGTTTGATGGCGGTCAGCAAAAATATTTTCACTGTTGTAACGGATGCAACAAAAAATTTCAATCTTTGTTTCTAACAGAATGTAATATAAGGTTGGAATCCTTATTCTTAATTTCACACCCAGAACTATTTAAAACGCCCCTTTGGTAATGCAATTTCATGAGTTGAGATAATAGTTCAACTCTCTCTCTCTCTCTCCGCCTCCGTCTCTCTGCAGCTTTCTGGGGCTGCTTCTGTGCTTAGATAATAATACTAATTAACCTGCATTATAACAGGGTTTTGTTAAGAGTTTCTAATGCTATAGTTCCCATTTTCATTTGTTAAGGTAAATTTGTTCCTCGCTTCTGAATCTTATTTTCTTTTTCCATTCTTCTGTAAATTCTTTTATCTTCGTTCAGGAAGGAACGTTCATGCTTTACTAGCTTTCTCAGATGATTTTCTTTCTTCGCCTTGCGTCTTACGCAGGTTATCGTCTGCATGGAAGAGTCACTTTTGAGTCGACGTTTGCAATTTTGCCTGGGATGGATTGTTCTCCTCATCTCATTTACCGACTATATTGTGAAGATAAGCACTGCTGCTAGGTTCTTCCTCTACTGAATCTTTTTCTGCGTTCCAATGAAATCATTTAGATAGAGGTGTCAATTGGACTGCATTTGGTTTAATCCGGTTCAGTCCAATGGACTCAATTCAGTCTAAATCCAATACAAATTAAATCCAATCCAATTCATTAAAATATAAATGGATTGGATTGGATCCAATCCAAACCAAATGAAATATCAAAAATTATATAAAAAACAGAATATATAAAAAATTACAAAAATATATTAAACAAAGTCCGCATTGAAAAAACACTTTTGTAAAAGTGCTTTCGTAAAAACACTTTAATGAAAGTACTTTCGTAAAAGTACTTTTATAAAAAATACTTCCATAGAAGTGCTTTTACAAAAGTACTTTCGTATAAGTATTTTTATAAAAGTACTTTTGTAGAAGTGCTTTTATAAAAGTACTTTTGTAAAAGTAACTTTATAAAAGTACTTTCGTAGGAGTGCTTTTGAAAAATACTTTTATAAAAATACTTTTATAAAAGTACTTTTGTAGAATTGCTTTTATAAAAGGTGCTTTCATAAAAGTACTTCCATAAAAGTGTGTAAAAGTGCTTTCGCAAAGTGCTTTCATAAAGTACTTTTATGAAAATGCTTTCATAAAAGAATTTTTGTTAAAGTATTTTTCATAAAATTACTTTCATAAAAGTGACTTTATGCCGACTTCAGTTATGATCGATTTCAAATTGGACAAGGGTTTGACTTCATAATTGGATTATTAAAAATTTGGTTTAAGTCCAAATTCAGACCACTAAGAATATGGAGCAATTTATTTTGGATTGGCCAAATCTAATAATTATAATGTATTCTTCAAATCTGATTTAATAAGATTTGGATCGGATTGGATCCAATTCAAAACCGATCGTTTGACACCCTACGTTTAGAACAATAATTCCTATGACTTAAAAAATATGACGTTGATTTAGCCACGTGTGTTGCACGTGCTCTCTCCCCAATAAAAGGTAGGTCTTAAAATTGTAAAGGGGGGCCTATCGCTTATGATAGTAATGGGCCTAGATTTTAAATTGGCCCAATCACAGTCGAGCACAGTTTCTCTTTTTTTTTTTTTTTTTTTTTTGAATACCTGAACAACGGTTTGAAGATTGTGCTCGTAAATTATAAATAGAAGATTAATTAAGATTCGATCCCTTATTTTTTTAGTTTCGACTAATTGTTTTTCCTTTATTCTGAATTTGAATTCTTGACAGAGTACACGAGAAAGGATCAAAGTTGGGTCTTCAATTGCATTATACACCCGACCATGTATTAATCCATTCAAATTAATGCTGACTTTGTTTTTCTCCTTTAACCTTAATTTGTAGTGCAATTTCATTAGCATTGGTGCAAAAGCATGGGAGTGCAAATTCTCATTTACACTCTCATGCGCTTACTAGTGCAAATGAATTGAAAAGGCAGCAAATACATTTGGTATTATTTAAAAAGCAAAATGATTTTGCAGGTGGTAATGGACAACGGTATTCTCCAGGTCACGTTATCAGTTCCCGGGGGAATTGTCAGTGGAATACGGTACAAAGGTCTGGACAATTTGCTTGAAATTCTTAATGAAGAGGAAAATAGAGGGTATGTTTTACACTATTTCTACTGGAAGTCCAATGGCATTTTGGTATATGCTGGAATTAGCTGTTCTTTGCCTTGCAATCTGAACCATCATTAAAAAATATATATATTGGTATTTTTGGGAAGGGAAAATGGAAAAGAGGTTTTTTGAAATTTGAACCATGATATCGGATACTTGGTTGTATAATTCGTGTGTTAGTATGTACAATCATCATTAGACATTTATTATAGCACCCCTATATTCAATCATCTACTTAAATCTATCTTTTAGTTTTTATTTTATTAAAATACCTTCTATAATTTGCAATAGGTATTTGTTTTGCCATGTGAAAATAGTAACAAGATTATCTAAACCGAGGGAAAAATGTTCAAAGGCATAGGCCCATGATTGTTTATTATTCCAAAAGTACCCCTTACACCTCTTTGTACAGCAAATAAGATTTAATCAAAGAGTTAAATAGAGTGGTTGTTCATGCCTTATTAGGGGCAAAAATGATAGTTCAATGTTTATTTTCTTTTGATTAAATTCAAAACTGTGATTTTCCACTTTCATCTGATGAAAGGTCAATTAAGTAAATCAATTACAAACTATAGGGATGTTTTAGTAGATGACCCTAAAAATATTACGACTAGAACTGTGTTGGTGTGTAAGACATACCGTGTATAACTCCATGTCATACATCATCAAATCATGTTTACTAGTTGAGAAAGCATAAAAAGTTGTGTTAAGAATACATGCTCATGGACCGGGCTGGGCCAGGTTTGGGCCAGGCTTTGTCTCTTTATCAATAGAAAATATCTAGGCCCGAGACCGAGCCTGGCCCGACCATTGAGCCTTGATCTTGGCCCAACCAAAAGTTTTACATTTAGATTAGGATTATGGTTGATAGTTCAATAACTCGGCAACCTGACCTAACCCAGCCCAACTTGCACCCCTTTCACAAATAGATGGAATTGAATTGCATATACCTAGATCCAAATTTCAATTGTTTATATTTGTTTTCGAATTCTATCTTATTTGTCAGATTTAAATTGGATTGGAGTTGAATTCTGATTATAATAGGATATTGAAAAGTATCAATATATCAAACTAAAAATTATCAAATTATTCTATATTATTAATAAAATTATCTAGAAATGACTTTGATATTGTATATCATGAGCAAAATTAATTAAAAACAGCTTAAATAAAATTAGAAACTTTGGATCTTTAATAAAAAATGTAACATTTAAATCAATTTTACTATACAAGCATATATTTGAACTGAATTGAATCGAATCATCAGATGCTATTGGATTGGATAGGGATGGATCAATATTCGACCCAATTATAAACAACAATTGGATACAGATCACCCTTAATTGAATTGAATTCAAATTCAAAATTGGACAAATGGATACTATTTGCCGCCCAAGCCGGTTTAAATCCTTCATTTCCATAAGGCTCAATTTGGAAGGAGTACAAATACAAATATATAGAGTGCAGAATCTTGTATTTTATATTTATACTGTACATATTTGTATTTGCACTCATTCCAAACTGAGCCTAAAGAGCTCCAGTTACCTTGATCACCATTCTGACAGCCCAATCCCATGGATCGATCACATACACATCCTCTTTGGTGCTGATTGATTTCCTTATACCTTAAATTAAATCACGAATCACATGCAGTTTGAACTGCACATCTTATTGGATTAAGACCATGTTTCGAAATACTTAAAAATAAGTGTTTATTTGAAATAATGTTTATTTGGGCCGGGACCACGTCATTAAGCATTTATTAGTGTTTGGAAAATAAGCCTGAAATAAGTATTATTTTAAAAATTAAGACTTTTTTAAATCCAAATTTCAAACTTTTTTTAAGTACTTATACAATAACACTTTTTTAAGTTGTGTCTATACAAATAAATAAGTGTTTATTCTAAAAGTGTCAATATGAAAGAGTCATTACTAAATATGCAAGCATTTTTGTCAGATTTATTTAATCTGAGATTAATCTAGTGTTGTTTAATTCAATTCAAAACACTTCAGATATTGGGATACCGTATGGAACGAACCTGGACGAGACATAATCTTTGACAGGTATCTCTCTCTCTCCATTAAGATGGGCCGCATGACTTGAACTTGCCATGTTATTGGGCCTTGATCTTTACACTGGGCCTCACTTTGGATGTGGGCCTTGGCCTTATCTTTCTTACCGATACGGTGATGCCAATTGCCAAGTTACCAACACGTACATATAAATGCATGCAGGATGGAAGGAAGTGCTTTTAAGGTCATAATGAACAATACGAAGCAAATTGAGCTTTCATTCACAAGAGCATGGAACTACTCCCTCAAGGGCAGAGTCATTCCCTTGAATATAGACACAAGGTGTGTTTGGATCTGCATTTCTTTCGTTTCCCCACTGTAAAAGCAAAACTGTGTCTCTGTTTATTTCATAGAACAAAAAGAAGATCACTAATTGTGAAGTTCACGTTAACCTCTCAGGTTTATAATGCTGCACGATAGCCCCGGTTTCTACTGTTACGGCATTTACGAGCATTTACAAGGATGGCCTGATTTCAACATTAACGAAACCAGAATGGGTTTCAAACTTCGGCAGGATAAGTACTAACTTGACTGTCTTCCCCCTCTGATCTAAGATAAATTAATTTAGGGCCCGTTATATTCGAAATGGTCTATTTCGATAATCTGTATGGTTCAGATAGAAATTAAAATAAGAATTAAAATCAGCTGAAGTGGGATGTCATTTCCCAAGAGAGGGGGAGGGAACGAATGGCCATTTCCTCAAATGGGATAATGTCATTCCACCAGAAATGTAAATAGGATTCCCATTTCGCCTAACCAAACAATTGAAATTGAAATAACTCATTCTGATTTCGATTCCAGACTCCTATTCCCATAAATCAAATGGGCCCTTAATTTTTGAAGTTCGGTTTTCAGAAATTCATATATAGATAATTAAAAGGGAGAGATTTTGGTATTCGGTGTGGTTAGGTTTCATTATATGGCCATATCAGACTGGAGGCAACGGATCATGCCCATGCCGGAAGATCGAAAAACGGGTCAACCTCTAGCCTATCCAGAAGCAGTTCTTTTAACACATCCAATCAACCCAAACCTCAAAGGAGAGGTACTACTCCATTAACTCTTTTAAGGCTCAGTTTGAAAAGAGTACAAATGCAAATATGTAAAATACATACAAAATAATATAAATACAAGGTTTTGTACTCCTCTAACCGAGCTTAAATATCAAAATTAGAAAGAAAAAATATAAGAAAAATGTCTAATCTCTCGACTCAAATTTGGACTGTCTAATTGGGCTGAAATTAGGCTTCCGGATATCTGAATTCTCTGAACCAACTCAACCCCATATATGTATTAGTTTCTGTGTTCACAGTTTAAGAGCAAGGAAGGAAAAGGTAGCAATTCTAGTGGTATGAAGCAAGGTTCAAAGTATCGATATATATTGGGCTGTATCGGTCGATACGTATCGTTCCAGAACCCCTCTGATACACCCCTATAGTGGGTGCATGTATCGGGGGTCTGACCGGTTCAGGAGGTGGAGGAGCCCTAAACCACTGCTCTCTGGACCGGTTGTGAAAAAAACTAAAAAACAAGCACAAAATGCTGTATCAATTTGCCCGATATGCCCCTACCGACGCATCGGGCATACCAATATTTTGAACCTTGTATAAAGTATGAGCATTAGTTTTTGTTTTTTCTCCCGTAATAATGGTGCAAGAAGGTCAATAAGTATTTTAGAATGCTTCAGGTTGGTTTTTGGGGTTTAGGACTACCCTAGCTCCATAAGTTGCAGACCTAGTTAGCTCCTTCAGAGTTGTTGAGAGTTCAGATACAATGGTGAAGATGAATGGATCCAAAGCCTGGAGGAGGGTGGGTTAACCAAAAGTTACCTGGTTTTGTTTAATCCCATAATGTGCAGGTGGATGACAAGTACCAGTATTCTGTCGAGGTCAAGGACAATCAAGTACACGGTTGGATATCTGCAGATCCTACAATAGGCTTCTGGATGATTACACCAAGTAATGAATTCCTTACAGGTGGGCCTCTTAAGCAGGATCTCACCTCCCACGTGGGTCCCACCACTCTCTCAGTAAGACCCTTTATCTCTCTTACCCTGATGACATTTGTTTAAGTGAATGTTTTAAAAATCGATCAATATTGTTTCGGTTGATACGTATTGTTTCGGGACCCACCAATATGCCCCAATAGTGGGTGTATCAGGGGTTTGACCGATTTAGGGGATGGAAGAGACCTAAATTGGCTCCCTTGAACCGGTTTCAGAAAAAAAACTAAAAAAAATAATATCGATTCGTTCGATACGCTCATATCGGTGTATTGGTCATATTGATATTTTGAACCTTACTTAAAACCAGATCTGCTTTTTTGGCCACTGGATAGTCTGTTTTAAATTTAAAAAAATAAAAATAATAATAATTAAAATACAAAAGAAAAAACTGCTAAAACCATTATTCGGGTCGAATAGGTCAATGGTAAAATGGGTTAAGAATGAAATGAAACCGGTTGCCTAAACAGTTCCCAGGCTGAACTGTCCGACCGTCTGAGTCAATGACAGTTCGGAAACACTGGTTCAAGCCATTAAAGAGCAGTTTAAGCTCCAAAGACACATTACCAGGGCCAATTGCTAGCTATGAACATTTATATATACGAGGAAGAAACTGTTAAGAGTCTCTAGATCTTTTTTCCTAAAATGGTTCTTCTCATATCAGATGTTCATCAGCGCTCACTACTCTGGGGAGAATATAGGGCCCATGTTCCGAAACGGAGAGCCATGGAAGAAAGTTTTCGGACCTGTTTTTATATATCTTAATTCTCTCCCACTCGGTGAAGATCTACACACACTATGGCGCGACGCCAAAAAACAGGTATATAAACTTATAAAGAACATTTGTTCTTATTGTGTGGTTATTAATTGTTAATTTTGCATTTTGAGAGGAGTTAAAATACCTGTGATAATCGTTCATTAGGCGTCAATCCAAATCGCAAGCTGGCCATATAGCTTTCCTGCATCAAAGAATTTCCCTTCTTTGGATCAAAGGGGCAGAATTAGTGGTCGATTACTGGTCGAGGATAGGTATATTGTATATATATTCCTTTTCTGCTCTTTTTCAATCTGCAACCGCGTCAATCATTTTGAATGAAAATGTGAATTTCAATTTTGTATAGGTACATCAGTGGCAGTGAGCAGTTTTCGGCAAGATTTGCTTATGTTGGACTAGCCCCGCCTGGAGATGTAGGATCATGGCAAACCGAATGCAAGGTGATCTTCACAGAACTTGTTTGCCCAAAATTAGAGCTGTAACTTGGATCGGCAGGCCCGGGCCAACCCTAGCCCTAAAAAATTAGAGTCGGGTTGAGTCGAAGGCTGGGTTAGAAGATGGATGTAGAAAACCCAACTCGGTAAAAAGTTGGGTTGGGTTATGGTTGATTCCTTGGGCAACCTAACCCAATCCAAATCCAAAATATGTTTCATTGATGGGTTGAGTTGGGATTAAAAACCTCTAGGCTATGTTTTGTTTGATGAAAAATAGGAGATTAACAAAATGTTGAGGGAAAGTTACCTAGGTCGTTTTGATTAGAGGCAAGGTTCAAAGTATCGGTACCGGCCGATACATATCATGCCGGGAGTTTTTCAATACGTTCCTATAGAGGTTGTATCGGGTCAGACTATGGTTCAGAGTAAGGTTTTTAAAACCAAACCGGTCAGGGGTCCGATTACAAATCCGAACGGCCCGACCGTTCAACCTGAATGGCCAGCCCATTCTGACAAAAAAAATTAAAAATTTAAAAAATGATCAAAACCATTCGAACTGTTAACCAGCCGGTTCAACGGTTTGCTGACCAAAATCAATGGTTTTAGGGGAAAAAGCGATTTTGGAGGAAAATAGAACTGATCAGGTGACCAATTCCCGGTTTTTCTGGTCCGGTCTGGTTTTAAAAACAATGGTTCAAAGGGTATCTGGGACTTAAACCAACCCATCTGAACCGATTTTGAAAAATAAATAAATAAAACATAAAAAAAAACACCAATACAGGCCAATACGCCCTATATCAATATTTAGAACCTTGATTAGAGGTTAAAATCAGAATCAGAATGGGGATCAAAATCAAAATCCTGTGGTGTTGGAAACGATCTCGCTTATTTGGTTCGTATGGGAATCAAAATTGGATTCTATAAAATATGCTCCCAAGAAGGTTGGCATGGGATGAAGAGAAATAGGGTATAGGATTTTTTTTTTAAGTCATTTGTATTTTTTGGGGGGCTGATTGGAATGAGATTCTCATTCTCAAGGGTAGGCCAGAATGGCCATTCCCTCAGACGTGGAACACCGTTGGCCAGGAATGGTAATTGGAATCCCATTCCGCCCTGGCTAAAATCAAAATGAGACCCCTATTCCTACAAACTAAATGGACCCTTAATAAGTTTTCTAAATTTCATTCCCTCAACTTTCTTTCTGTCTTATTTTTTATCAGGGAAAATCTATCATACCAATCTATCAAAAAGACACGGTATTGAAAGAGTTTTGACCAATAAAAGCATCTTCAGACAGTGAATTTTGAATAATACCACTTGATAAGTAATTTCTTTTATAATTCCAATTGATTGATTGTGAGCTTTTTTCGGTATTATGTCTTTCTGGTATCATAGGCAATCATCTCTATCAAACCAAACACAACCCTAGTGATTGTTTAGTTCAAATCAACTTGCATCCAATGTTTTCAAAACCGAATCAGACAATGAACCAGTCAGGGTCTAATTTCTGGGTCAAATGGTCTGACCATTTGAACCAAAAGGATGGCCCATTCTGATAAAAAATAAAAACCAACCTAACCATTGAACGGTTCAAACGGTTCAACCGCTCAGGTCAGTGGTTTTTTAACTAAATTAACGGTTTTTGAAAAAATAACAGTTATAGGGTAAAACAGAACCGATCACCCAATTTTTCATATGTTCTCATTCCTTCACAGGGATACCAGTTTTGGACCAAATCTGACGCTAATGGGTATTTCACCATTGATCATATTCGAACCGGAGTTTACAATCTTTATGCATGGGTACCTGGGTTTATCGGGGACTACAAATATGAAGCCATTATCACAATAACTCCAGGTATATGAAAACCTTATATTCTGTATATATACAGACATTTCATTCTGATGATTTTGTTGTTATATGAATCAGGATGCAATACAAGTCTGGGCAATCTCGTATATAAAGCACCAAGAGCTGGTCCAACCTTGTGGGAGATCGGCATCCCAGACCGTTCTGCATCTGAGTTCTACGTTCCTGACCCTAATCCTAAGTACATCAATAAATTGTATACCGTCCACAACAAGTTAGCTCTCATTCCCAGAATTTGGCACATGAGTTACCAATTAATTTAGGGAGTGGAGTTTGAGATTAAATTCATTGATTGACCATTAACTTTCTGAACATGCAATGTGGAAGCAGAACTGGCGTAAGATCAACTCCTGTTGACAAATTTAGGCAGTATGGACTGTGGGAGAGGTACGCCGACTGTTACCCCCACGAAGATCTGGTCTATACCGTCGGTAGTAGCGACTACCGGAATGATTGGTTCTTTGCACATGTCTCCAGGTACCACAGCCTCTGCCTTTAAATGGTAACACAAGATTATTTGAATATAACTCTTTTCATCTACCAAGCTTGGTGGAGTGAAGTTCAGTGTTTTCAACACCCTTGACCAGTCTTAATTCTGGGTCCTGTTATTTGATCAAAAATTATTCGTTAACGTCGTTCAACCTAGACAGCAGTTAAACCATTAATTGATCCATTCCCGAGACCGTCTGACCTGTTTGATCAGAATAGTCAAACCGGTCGGAGGTCAAAAACAGTTTGACCTCCGGATAATGCACATGGAGCATAGACCAACAGAGGGAGAGAAAGAAAGAAAGAGAGAGGAGATTTGGGAATGCCCATCTTCCAAAATTGCCAAACCAATCTTCTTGTTTCAGTGTTTTCTGTGGTTTCTTCATTGCTAGTGTTGGGATGGAGTGTTAATGGGTGTTACCCACCAAAGAGGGAGAGGATTTGGGAATACTCATCACCCATAATTGCCAAACTAATCTTCTTGTTTTAGTTTTTTTTTTTTTTCTCTTGTTGTTTCATTGCTAGTGTTGGGATAGAGTGTAAATGGGTGTTACCCACCAACAGAGAGAGAGGAATTGAGAATATCCATCACCCAAAATTGCCAAACCAATCTTCTTGTTTCAGTGTTTATCTTTTTCTTTCATTACTAGCGTTGGGTTAATTAAAACCCTGAAAAGCAAAATCCTCAATCCATGAATATTAATTGTTGCTTTGCAGGAAGACGGGGAATAAAACATACCAACCAACCACATGGCGGATTACATTTAAACTGGAGGCCATGAACCAACCCCAAAATGGAAATTACACACTACGTTTGGCTCTTGCATCAGCGACCCAAGCGGAAGTACAAGTAAAGAACCAAACACTCCTACTACTAGCTAGTTAATTACAAAGTTTCATTAATATTTTCTTCTCTGGTTTCAATATATTTGACACCTAAATTAGTCTCAACCAATCGATGTGTCTTCTTCTTGGGTCTAAGCAGGTTCGGTTCAACAAGCCAAACTTGCGTCGTCCTCATTTTACCACTAAGCTTATAGGCAGAGACAACGCCATTGCTAGACATGGGATCCATGGGTTGTACAGATTGTTCAATATTACAGTAAGGAGCGAGTGGCTTGTAATTGGAGGAAACAACACCATATTCTTGACTCAATCAAGACATTTGAGCCCGTTCTTTGGTGTCATGTATGATTACATTCGTTTGGAAGGACCTTCAACTGGAATTAATGTTTTAGGATATTGATCAGCTTATACTACTGTTTACTTGTCACTTTCGCCTTCAAGAAATTTGCAGAGAGAGAGAGAGAGAGAGAGAGAGAGAGTGCATAAATGAGAGAGGAGTTACAGATTTTGAGTGGAGTAGACTTGAAGCTGAATGTTGCAAGAGAAATTAATGCTCTTTTGATCTTCCTTTCTTTTCCTTTACATTTTGAGTCTCTTTTTGGTATGTTCAGCCGCATCGGCCGCTTGAATTTGCATCTTCGTGGCCTGTAAGTCAGCTTCGCTTGCTTCCTTTTCATTCCTCGCAGCCAGCCTTTTAGCCTGTTTCATAGTTCCAAGTAAGTATATATAGCCATTTAGACTCTACACATGGGTGGTCTAAATATCGATCTTTGCAACAATTAATGGAAACTCTGATCGATCACAACAGAGGCTCACTGGTCACTGCATACTTTAAATTAAGTTAAAACCATGTTTCATCCATAGCAGAATATTGTTCAATTTATATCGTTCTCAACTCTCCCTCAAGTTGAAGTTTCATTATTTCTTTCTTTCCTTTGCTTCTGTTCTCTCTTCTCATCTTTCTGAAACATAATCTGTTTCGATGTTCTCGGTAGCTCACGGCAGCTGGTTTGCCACCGAAAAGCAAAAGCCCACTTATTACATGCACAAACTAAAGTCACTAGATGGCAGCCAGCTGGTACCGTCGTCTATATCATCTCCGAATCCTAACAAGACCTAAGTACTGTTTCTACATTCTTCTATAGATAATCCTTGGATTTATCTTCTCTGAAGTAAAAGGTAGGAACAGAAATGTTATAATTAATGATCGATGATGCTCTGACCTGACCGACCAGCAAGGCTTTGAAATATCGAAAACCTTCTTGCAAGGAAGCAGAGAAGGAAATGCATTTCCTCTTGATTCGAGACATCACCGGAATGCCTCTTCTGCCGGTAGCCGTGGAAGCGGTGGGCGCCGATGATCTCACTTTATCCATCTCCTCCACCCTCTTGGTCTTGGTCTTGAAGTTTGCTCCCTCCAATTCTGTCTCGGATCAACTCAGCTTGGGATATGATCAAACACAATAACGATCGAGAGGGAATGAAAGAAAGAGTTGTCTACTATTTCGTCATGCGAATCGAAAGATTGCCACGTTTCGTTTGGCTTCACACTACGTGTTGAGTTTGGGATCATAGGGTCCAATCCCCTTACGTTGTACTTGTCTCACGATGCCACATTCACTTGTTTAGTTGTTTATTCAAATGTCTAAGCTCGGTGGATTATCTCTTCTAAGAATTGGGATCTGCTATTCACATTACGCGCCTCACAGTCACATCCCATCCTATGGTATTAAGGACATCTTCCCATCAATAATCACCCTTTTTTTCTGTTCATTAGACGTTTTCTATTCCCTTTCTCTAAACATATAATGGCATAAATAGGATATATATTTCCTTTATTTTTATTTTAGAAATTATTCATTTATTGTCCATTCATTCAAAATTTGTCCATAAAATTATAAATAATTCTGTAAACACTATATTTACTAGCAAATATAAATATAAAAATAATAAATACAAATACGGGAGATGTAGAATATATGGCCAAAACATGCTGTGAGACATGTATGAGACACACTATGTGAAGAGCATATTCAGTTTAAATCTGCGCCCCACCCAGTTTTTCCCCACAAACGCCCCACATGCTCACGAGCCGCCACCTGTCCCTTTACACGAGATACGTAAGTAGCGCGTGCGGGGCTAACATAACGTTCGTTAGCCCCTTCCGTTACCCCTTAAAAGTCCCATCTACTCCTTCAAACCCTTCATTCGACAGACGACAGCTCCAGGTTAGGTATCTCAAAACCCTCTCCTCCCTCTCGAGTGCCTGACCTGACCCTGACTGTTTCTCCCTGGCCAGAACATCTTCTCTTTCTCCGGCACTGGCACCTACAACGGGCAACCGGCGGTACTCCCCAGCTCATCTTTTCACCTCCTTTTTTATTTTTTTCTGATGTTTTCGTTTTTCAGATATCAGAAAAACCGGCGGCATTTGTCATTTTCTCCTTCTCCGGCAACCGGCGGTACTCCCCAGCCCATCTTTTCACCTCGTTTTTTATTTTTTCTCTTTTTTTTTATGTTTTCGTTTTCCAGATATCAGAGAAACCGGCGGACGAGATCATTTGACACTCCATTACTGAATAGTGAATTCACACATGTGAAGAAGTGATCAGATGTAAACTGAAATTGAAGGAAAGGAGAAATAAGGGTGTAGGCATTTTCTAGTGGCTTTGGTGTAAAACCCACGCTTGATGAGCAAATTGGAGTTGGCCGGGGGACCAGATCAATTAATGCAGTGGGTAGCCATGTCTTCAGTACTGTTTCTTCTTCATCGCAGCTGGGCTGCTTCTTTTTTTATAGAGTCGTAGCTGAACCAAGCAAACAACAGTTGGAGGTCCCACAAGCTTTTTCATGGTTTTGTTCCAGCAAGGTGAGATGTCTACCTCTCTCTTTCTCTCTCCCAGGCTCAACGCTGTGCGTGGGTCAGTGGGTGTGTGGGGTAGTTCTGTTCTTGGAGTTGCCATTCTTATCTAGGCCTAACCCAGTCAGTGCAACTGTGCAATGACATATGCAGCCTCTCCTTCCACACTGACCCACCTAGGAATCTGGAATTTCTTCAAAGACAAAACCCAGCAACAACACAGTTCATGGAATTGCAGTAAGCTCATCAAAATAAACAGAAATTAATAAGAATTATCCCATCAGATCTCAAGCAATTAGAATTAATGGTCACCGTGACTGATGACTCTGAAAGTCTTCACCATCAGCCAGTTAGTAAATTAATAATGGAGTTTGACTCATCAAGTTTATCTATGCGGTTGGTGCTGTCGGTGAGGGGCCGCGCAAGTCACGTAAGCTGGAAGTCTCGTCAATCGATCAATAAACAAATTAAAAAAACCAGAGATTAACCAGTTTTGATCATCTAAACAAATGGTTTAATTTGCAGCAGCTGCATTAATTAAAGAAGAGCTGAAGATGGTGTGCATATTGATGAAATTCTTGATCGATGATGAGATGAAAGACTGAAGAGATAAAGTCACCACCTTCAATGAGTGAAAAGATCAGAAAAAAAAATAAAAAACGAGGTGAAAAGATGGGCTGGGGAGTACCACCGGTTGCCGTTGTAGATGCCGGTGCCGGAGAAGGAGAAGATGACAAATGCCGCCGGTTTTTCTGATATCTGGAAAACGAAAACATTAAAAATAAAAAATAAAAAATAAAAAATAAAAAACGAGGTGAAAAGATGGGCTGGGGAGTACCGCCGGTTTCCGTTGTAGGTGCCGGTGCCGGAGAAAGAAAAGATGCTCTGACGAGGGAGAAACAGTAAGGGTCAGGCAATCGAGAGGGAGGAGAGGGAGAAGAGGGTTTTCAGATACCTAACCTAGAGCTGTCGATGAAGGGTTTGAAGGAGTAAATGGGACTTTTGGGGGTAACCGAAGGTTATGTTAGCTCCGCACGCGCTACTTACATATCTCGTGTGAAAGAACAGGTGGCGGCACGTGAGCGTGTGGGGCGTTTGTGGGGAAAAACTGGGTGGGGCGCAGATTTGAACCCCTTTTTAACAAATACATGAGTGGTGGCACGTGGGAGAGATGTCTTTCACATGGTATCAACTTTTAGATTGTCTTTGGTTTCATTATTGTTTATCTAAAAAATGTCATCAATTTCATGTCATATATATAGGCATTTTCCTAATAAAATTTGGGGAAATTTCTTGATTAGTAATCTGTATTTTGAACCTAGTGTCATTTGATCCCCAAATTTTAAAATGCGATAATTTAATTTTTGAACTTTCAAAACATGACAATCTAGCGTTTGCTGTTAATCAGTCATTAAATGGCATTTGAAAAAGACACAAATGTCCTTCAAATGTCATTTAATTTTCTTTATCAACCATCCAAACATTAACAAAAGATTAACTGTCACAAATCCTTGTCTCTTCTATTCAAGAAAGTTGGGGTTATCAAAATGTTCACACAAACATGACCCCAACTTTCTTGAATGGAATAGGCAAGGATTTGAGATTGTTAATTTTTTGTCAACGTTTAGACGACTGATAATGAAAATTAAATGACACTTGAAGGGCATTTGTGTATTTTTCAAATGTCACTTAATAATAGGTTAACATCTTATTAACAACAAGTAATGGATTGTCACGTTTTAATAGTTTGGGTACTAAATTATCGCATTTTAAAATTTGGAGACCAAAATGACATTAAGCCCAAAATACAAGGTACCAATCTGGAATTTTTCCTAAAATTTGAAATGTTGTTTGGTTAAACTATTTAGTGGAAAAAAATTTCTCGTATTGTATGGGAGTCATGTGTTAGAGAAAATATCTTTTTGATGTTTTTCTCAATGCTAATACTTTTTTACTATTCAATTTATGTGGTATTTAATGGTATCTAATCACACCTAACTATCAGATAACATTTTTAACATCTTTTCTTGTTTTTAAGATATATAAAACATTTCTTAAATAAATAGCAGTGAAAGTAAACAACCCCTTAACCAGCGGTCTTTAGTCATAGTTGGGGTGCTTGAAATTGAACCAAAATCAATGGATTCAATCTTCAAAAGATCTGGTTCTTTATTTTTATATAAACTGGTCAGTTCAATTAATTGCTGATTTTTGGTATTGGTTAATTAAAACCAAACCACTATTTTCGATTTTTTCAAAAATATACCAAATCTATCAATTCAATTGACCAGAATTTTTGGTTGGATTCGAATTTTCGATTTTTTATGCACACTTAGGATGTGTTTGGTTTGAAGGAAAAAAGTAGAGAAAGGTAGAGAAACCTATACAAGGTCTAGCTTTCCCTACTTTTCCCTTCAAACCAAACATAGCCTTATGGTAAGATCTGAGCCAATCCCATTTCAATCTGACAATCGTGATTGTTTATATAGCAAGGCAAAAAATAAATGGAATGGGGGCATAATTGTCTTTTGACTTGACTTATCCTATTTTTTCCGTCGATCTCGTTAGGGGGAGAGGTATAAAAACCCTGGCCGCCTGCCTCTGCTAAAACATTGGAACACTCGAATTCTGTCGCTCCCAGCTTCGTCTGCGTCAGACACCAAGACTAACGACTTCGCCGGGAACACCTTGAATTTGTCTCTTGTCTAACGGTAAGAGTGAATTCGAGCTCTCCTTTTTGTCTGCATTTATCAATTCAGATGTTTTCCTTATTAAATCAAGTTCTTGTGGTTGAGGATATCTTCCGAATTTGTAGTTTCTCTTACGAATTAAGGTTTTATGTTGATTAAGTTTGCATTCGATTTGGGTACCTGAAAATTTTGGTTTAATCTGAGTTTCTGTTAGTGGACATCTATGGGCTGCCCAAAAAATAATAAAAATAATAAATAAGAAGCTTTTTTTTCTTATGGAAGCCTCAGATGTCCTCATTTTGCTCTTCGGTGGTTCTGGTTGCAGGAATTTTATATATAAGCAGGACCAATGGCAACATTCGAACTATACAGGAGGTCGACGATCGGCATGTGTTTGACGGAGACACTGGACGAGATGGTCTCGAGTGGGACTCTCACTCCGGAGCTCGCAATACAAGTTCTGGTTCAATTTGACAAGGTAGGGTCAGATATGATTTCCATTTCTATGAATTTTCTTGTTTCAATTCTTCAGACTCTTCCATTTTAACGTTTCATTTAGGTTTGCTTGTTATTGTTTTGTGTACCCAGTCTATGACAGAAGCTCTGGAAACCCAAGTTAAGAGCAAGGTCTCTATAAAAGTAAGCTTTCACTACTTAGTTATGTCTTTATTAGTTTATGTTGGGGTTTTGTCCAACAGGCCAAGGTCAGGGTTACTCAGAAATTTGACCTCTTTATACTCTTAATAACTTTGAAGTATGAGACTAGCTACAATGAAGAGAATCCTAGCAAGTTTCTGATCTGTATCCTGTTGCATTCTGCAATAAGGCTTTTTATTAATTGCGACATGCATATTTATTACGGTCTGCCTCTCATCAATCATTATGAATTTAATTAGATGATAGTGCAAAAATAGTTACACTGGTTCTGCTTTTATTTTTGTCTATGCTTCTCTGAAGAACTGACAAGACCTATAACTTTGGCTTGGGCATAGGTGTTCCAATTAGGGGTGTTAGTGGTTGGGTTTCATGTGGGCTTTTCTCACCTGAACCAACCCAAAGCACACTGACCTGAACTCAAACCCAATGAAATGAGATGCCAAACCTGAACTGCACCCACCCCATGATTAGTACCCATATAACTAAGGCTGTGTTTAGAAATGTTTCAATGTTATTCTGTGGTTGGGTTTGGCAAGGGCAACCTCAATCCTAACCCAACAAAGGCAGACCTTATCCTCACCCAATAGGATCGGGTGAAAGCGGTTATACTCCTTAACATGGTCCACTGACATCCCTAGTTCCAAGTGCATCTTTCATCTTTGTAATTGCTATATCTTTTAAGTCAAACTTCACGAAAATCATTTGACAGATAGATAATGAGAAATTAAAAATTTTAAATATGAGAGAATCTTTGTCACCAAAGATCCTGCTTTGCTTTCAGTTTCAAATCAGGAAACAATTAGTAGTTTCTAATAATTACTTTGCTTCACTATTTACCCTGGAGGTCTCCTTAGAATGCTTTTATGAACACTTTGTAATTGGATATAATAACTCTTTCTCTTGGTATTGTTTGGTTGAATATAGTTATCTCCTTTTGATTTAGATTAGAGGATTATAATAACTCTTTCTCACTAAAGATCCTACTTTGCTTTCAGTTTCAGATGAGCCAAAAAACAGGTAGTAGCTTCTAATGATTACTTTGCTTTTCTCTTCACCTGGAGGTCTCCTTAGAATTATTTTATAAACCTAGTGTGAGAGCATGGTCTCATGGATATGCCCAACACCATCAGTAAGCATGATGGGTGTGTGAAACAGACACCCAAGCTACTGAAACCCTAACATTCATCTTTTTCTCTTGTAAGAGCAATATGTCCAAAATAACGGGCAAGTGCAAACGAATGCATGTAACAGCCACCCAAGCTACTGAAACCCTATGAAGCACCATCTCATATACCCTTAAAAGTACTACAGAGAACGTTACATGGTTGGATTGATATTAGGGGATGCGTGTGGACCTGGGAAAGATGTTAAATCAAGTACCAAGTTTCCTCATGCCCTTCCCGTAACCACTTGTGCTGACCTGGCACAACTAACTGAGATATTCCCATGTTAATCATGTCCTCACTTTTCTTGTGGCATCCTAAAGGCACAAAACCGAGAAGAGCCACTATAAGAAGGGTTAATCAAGAAACTTCTAAGACAAGAATTTCAGATCTTATCCTAGATATTCTCACTCACTCCAGATAGTAAGAATATCCAGACACTCAGAGAGGCATCAGAGCCATGACCACCTCACTCACTCGGAGGCTAATCACATTCTCCTCCCCTATCTCTCAGTATGGCAGATCCCTAACTCTCCCACTCTCCAGATTGGGGGTCTTTTCCCTCTTTTCAGCTCTAATCTCATTCTAGTGAGGGCACATAAATATAGGACCAAGGACTTTTTGGCCCAAAACCATTTTTCTGATGGATGATTCTGGGGTCATTTGTCTTATGTTTTTTCATGAAGAAAGCAAGAGAAAAGAAAAGAAAATATAGTTTTCTTTTAGGAGTGGGGTGAGTGCTTTCATCTCACACTCCACTATTTTCCTCTACTTTCTCTACCTTTTAGGAGCGAAAGTAGAAGTTCAAAAGAAATTTTACCTTGCTATTTTGTCTTTACTTTCTTTTGTCTTTTGGCTTCCCTTATCAGCCAAATCAAGGAAAATCACTTTCTTTTAGATTTTCTTTTTTTTCTTCTAGCCAACCCTTATTGTAGTCTTTTTTTATTCGTTGAGATCCTGATCTCTACACTAATTGTTCTCTAGTCCCCATTTCGACATCTCTCTTTGGCATGTGGATGAACAATACAATTAACATATTGCATTTACACAATACATAATTTGACTTGTGATTGTAACATGTGTTTAGAAAGAAGGATGGACAAAGCATAAAAGTACATATATTCTGATCATAGATGGCCTTATCCCTGGGTGCCATTTAGTCATGCCTGAGTGCTGCCTTGGATGCACACCTACTTCAAAAAAAACAAAAACAAAAACAAAAAAAAACAATGGTAAGTATTTGTTTCTGTTATGCTAGAGAATCCTTTGACAATATAGACCATCCATCATGCGGAGGACATTCTGGATCAGTCATGTCCTTGCATTTTTACTTGACCGACAATAGCCACCTGAACTCTTAAATTTTAATCTGAAATTTCTCTATAATAAGGGTTTGTTTTGGAACATGGGCCAAGATAAGAACACAGGGATCCTTTTGGACACCAAAATAAGTTGCCATGTGGAGGATTTTTAGTCATTCATTTATAGTTTCATCTCTATAAAACCTGACCAGCAGTAGTGGACTTGTCCTCTATATGTATTGACCTGTAATTAGAATCTCTCTTGTTGTAGAAATTCTATACTCAAGTCTAATACAAAATTCAAGATTTATCGAGCCAATTATTAGACCTTGCACCCAAAAAAAAATCTTACTTTTGGACTATGATCCCAAATAACAATAGAGTTAACTTTGCAGTATGCAAGTTTTTCACAAATAATGGATATAATAATGTGATAGATCCCAGGCGGATAACCCACCATCAGATCATCGGGCCCATACCATTCAGGAAAGCCAGGCCCACACAGGTCGTGAAGACCATGCAGCAGCAGTAGCGACCCATGCAAAGCTTTACAAACCTCCCCTGTGATTTGTTTACAACCGCAAGCCACGTCATAACCACCCACATGCATAGCTCGTGGTAATGATGAGGTGATACGTGAGAAAGCCTATATAAGGCCTACAGGTAGAACAAAATGCTCAGGAAAATCATAACCAACTTATTCCCTTCCCTCTTTCTCTCTCTCTTAATTCTGTTTCTAGAGGAAGGAGCTCTTTCAAAGAAGCTCCGTCGACTTAGAGCTCATCAATTGGTATCAAAGCCCCTAATCCACCATGCCCACCACTCATAACCAATCACAAGAAGAAAGGATTGATCGGATGGAGGGAGAACTGAGAGGTATTAAAGATGCCCTCTCTGTTGTAGTGTCTCAGCTCGAACGGATGTCAACCCCCAGCCAAGCAACTAGGCAGACTAGGAGGGATTGAGAAGCGGCGCCCTTTAACCGAACAACACCTTCAACCTTCGTAGCCCCAAATTGGTGTTCCCCACGTACTCAGGTGACGATCCTTCCCCCTGGATCTACCGCGTAGAGCAGCATTTTGATTTTCATGAGATTTCGACCGGTCAAAGAGTACAGATTGCCTCCATCCATCTTGATGGAGAGGCTAGACTACCGCCGTTCACACCCACAACTGTCTTGGCTAGACTTTGTTGAGGCCCTACAAATACGATTTGGTCCTTCTAGCTTCGAATATTTTGACAAAGCTTTATCTAGAGTAAAACAGACCGGCTCTGTTCGAGAATATCAAGTTGAATTCGAGCAGCTAGCCATGAGAGTGCATGGATGGCCGGAACATGCTCTCACTGGCTGTTTTATTGGTGGCTTGAGGGAAGACATTAGATTGGAAGTGAAAGCCATGCAAACCGCTATTGTTTTAGCCACTGTGAGCCTAGCCCGACTGCATGAAGACAAGTTGAACCGAGCTAGGAGGAATCAACGGCCGGGAATTCTCGGACTTGCTCCCAAGTCCTTTACATCCAAAACCAAGTTAACCCCGGTTTGACCACACCTCCCGCCAGCCCCCACTGTGAGAAAACTCACCTGGGTTGAGATGCAGGCCCGTTAGGAAAAAGGATTGTGCTATAACTGCAAGGAGAAATTTTCTTCGGGCCATAACTGCAAGGCCCAGCAGATGTTCCTCCTTCAAATTATTGACAACCCAGATGAGAGTGAAGATGTGGATACCGGACCCATGGTCTCCGACCAGGCAGAAGACTCCGTCGAGGAAAACCCGGAGATATCACTCCACGCCCTAGCTGGGCTCCACTCCACTGAGACCATGAGAGTGTATGGTGTACTTAAGGGTAATTGACAGTGGGAGTTCCCTTAACTTCATCACTCTGGACCTAGCTTGACAAATGGACCTAGAGATTCAGGCGATTACTCCCTTTGCTGTTAAGGCAGCTAATGGACAGCAAATTCCATGTGATGGGTTGTGCAGGGCCGTGGGCCTTAGAATTCAAGGCCATGTGTTCAGTGTGGACCTATATCCTTTGGATTTTAGTGGGGCTGACTTAGTCTTAGGGATCTCAATGGTTTAAGCTCCTTGGGCCGACAGTATGTGATTGGACCCTCTTGACTATGGATTTCTAGATGAATGGGAAGCAATGCCATTTAAAGGGAATTGGGCCAACCAAACCAGTAGCAGGTTCGGTCCGACATGTTATCAATTACAGACTTCACTCCAATGCAGCGACCCTGGTTATTTAGGCTCATTGGGAGTAGGGCCCACTATCTATGGTGACAACGGAACCCATACTGTTATGGAGGACCCCACTTTACAACAACTCTTAGCAGCGTATCAAGATGTCTTTGGAGAACCAAACAGCCTACCTCCTGTGCGTACTCATGATCACCACATCCCTATTCAGCCGGGGGCCCAACCCACCAATGTCAGGCCTTACAGATACCCACATGTTCAACAGGCTGAAATTGACAAAATAGTAGCTGATTTGTTGTCCAAGCAATTGATACAACCGAGCCATAGTCCCTATTCTTCTCCAATCCTTCTCGTCAAAAAGAAGGATGGAACGTGACATTTTTGTGTTGATTATCGGGCCCTCAATAGCATCACTGTGAAGGATAGATTCCCAATTCCACTAATAGATGAGTTATTTGATGAATTGAAGCATGTTGTTTATTTTTCCAAACTGGACTTACGATCCGGCTACCATCAGATCCGGGTCCACCCAGAAGACATCCACAAAACRGCCTTTAGGACCCATGATGGTCACTATGAATTTTTGGCCATGCCTTTTGGGTTGACTAATGTGCCCTCCACTTTTCAGAGCCTCATGAATGATATTTTTCGGCCCCACCTCAGGCGCTTTATCTTGGTGTTCTTCGATGATATCTTGGTCTATAGTAGTGATTGGGCTTCTCATTTAGAACATTTGGAGTTAAGCCTTGGGATTCTCCAGCGACATCAGTTATTCACCAAGCCCTCCAAGTGCACATTCGGCCAGACACAGATTCAGTATTTGGGACATGTAATTTCGCTGGGGACTGTAATGACTGGTCCTGAGAAAATTGTGGTAATGACTCAGTGGTCTCGACCCAAGACCATTAAGAGTTTGCAGGGTTTTCTGGGCCTCACCGGTTACCACAGAAGGTTCATAAAAGGCTATGCATCTCTAGYCGCCCCTCTTACAGCTCTGTTGAAGAAAGAAGCCTTTACTTGGTCAGAACAAGCAGAAGTGGCATTTGAATCCCTCAAAAAAGCGATTACGGCACCGCCTACCTTGGCATTACCCGACTCTACCAAGCCTTTTGTGATGGAGTGTGATGCATCAGGTAGAGGAATCGGTGCAGTTCTGATGCAAGAGGGACACCCTATTGCTTATTTCAGTAAGTTCCTGTCAGCCCAAGCCCAATTAAAGTCTACTTACGACAAGGAGCTGATGGCCTTGGTGCTCTCTGTGCACAAATGGAGAGCTTACTTATTGGGGTGAAAATTCACAGTAAGGACTGATCAGAGGAGTCTCAAACACTTGATGGAACAAAGGATTCTTAACCTTGAACAACAGAAATGAGCCAGCAAGTTAATGGTCTTTGATTTTACCATTGAATGCAAACCTGGTCCATCCAATACAGTTTCTGACGCTTTATCCAAAAGAGAAGAAATGAACTCTTTGACAGCCTACAGACCTCTCCACCCCTTGCTTGATTGCATCAAGGAAGAAGCCCAACAAGATGATGAATTAAAACTAATTTGGGAGCAGTTGGGATCAAGGGCAAACCAAGTAGTGGGGTACTCCCTGGTGGGTTCAGACTTATTCTACAAGGGGCGACTGGTGATAGCGCCTAAATGTGTTTTTCACACAGACTTTTTGAAGTTGTTCCATGAGTCAGTAGAGGGAGGTCATTCTGGGATGATTAGGACTTACAGGCCCAAGCAGCCCACTTCTATTGGTGGGGAATGAAGAAGGTGGTACAGGATTTTGTTGCAAGTTGTTCTGTATGCCAAACTCAGAAATATCAGACCCAAACCCCAGCAAGGTTGCTACAACCCTGACCCGTTCCAGATCAAGTGTGGGATGAGGTAACTATGGACTTTATTACGGGATTGCCCAAGTCTGGAGGGAAGTTTGTTATACTGGTTGTTGTGGATAGATTGAACAAGCACGCACACTTTGTTGCGCTTTCCCACCCCTACACGTCATCTCAAGTAGCTTAGGCCTACATTTATCAAATGGCTAAGCTCCACAGTACACCAACAACTATCATCACGGATCGGGACCCCACTTTTGTAAGTCAATTCTGGGAAGAATACTTTCAGGCACAGGGTACTCACACTTATCATTCCACCAGCTACCACCCACAGACTGACGGGCAATCGGAAGTGGTTAACCATTGTCTAGAGACCTATCTCAGATGTTTCACAGGAGAGAAGCCTACTCAGTGGCTGAAATGGCTCCCATGGGCTGAATTTTGGTATAATACCACTTATCATGTTACTATAGGGACCACCCCATTCAAGATCTTGTATGGAAGGGAGCCACCCTCAATGTTACCCTATGATAAGGGCACTTCAGCAGTTGCAGAGGTCAAACAGCAGCTTGAAGCCAGAGATGAAGCACTTCAATCACTCAAGAGTCACTTACTCAAGGCTCAGAATTACATGAAGATGCAGTATGATAAGAAACACCGCGAGGTGGAATACCAAGGGGGGACCTAGTCTACTTGAAACTACAACCTTACAGACAGTCATCACTGGCAAAAAGAGTTTGGCAGAAGTTCTCACCCTGTTCTTTTGTCCCTTTCGCATTTCAGTGAGAATGGGAGCAGTGGCTTACAAACTAGACTTGCCGAATACTGCCCGACTCCACCCAGTATTTCATGTCTTGCTCCTCAAATCATGCCGAACAGATGCAGCTTTGGTGGAGCCACTATTGCCTGAGTTTATTAGTGAAGGGCAGATGATTGTTGAGCCCAATGTCATCACGGACATCCGCTGGATAAAGATGGGTAGTAAAGTGGTGAAGCAGGCCCTTGTTCAGTGGACGAACCTGCCCCCAAAAGATTCCACTTGGGAAGACCTCAGTCGGTTGCAAGAACAATTTCCCCATCCTGACCTTGAGGCCAAGGTCATTCTTAAGGGTGGGGGAGATGATAGATCCCAGGCGGATAACCCACCATCAGATCACTGGGCCCATACCATTCAGGAAAGCCAGGCCCACACAGGTTGTGAAGCCCATGCCGCAGTAGTAGCGGCCCATGCAAAGCTTTACAAACCTCCCCTGCAATTTGTTTACAACTGTAGGCCGCGTCATAACCACCCACATGCATAGCACGTGGTAATGATGAGCTGATAAGTGAGAAAGCCTATATAAGGCTTACGGGTAGAACAGAATGCTCAGGAAAATCATAACCAACTTATTCCCTTCCCTCTTTCTCTCTCTCTTAATTCTTTTTCTGGAGGAAGGAGCTCCCTCAAAGAAGCTCCATCGACTTAGAGTTCATCATAATGCAAAGAAAAAATGGTAATCAGAGTTGGTACTAAATGGATAAAATCATAGCTCAAGTTGAGAACGAGAAAACTGAGATATCAGAGAAACGTGGCTGGACGAGTTGGTTATCATTAGAGATCTGTATTGGATTGGGGTCGAATCATAACTGAAATTGATATTAATGAAACCAGTATTCTTATTATGTACTCTTTAATTGAGGGACAAGAAGGTATCTTTTATTTATACAAAACCAGGGCCTATTTTCTTATTTTCTTTTTCCCCTTTCTTAAAGGAAAAATGAAATAATATATGAGCATAAATGTGTCTATATGAGAAAAGCAATGTGCCATATGATTGGTAATTACTTTATTGGTGATCCTAAATGGTTAGAAATAGCAAGTTGAATAACTAAGAGTGGTAAGTTAATAACTGATAAAGACTAGTAGATTGTAACATATGTAACCAATAAAACTCTAGTAACTGTTAAGTTGGTAATTCATAAAAGCCAAGCTATTTTTCATTTAAAATTTAAATTTCCTGCCTATGATGTATCAGCTCCAAATCTGGTAGTTCAAGAACTAAATATTATGATTTTATTTAGGTGTTAATGTGTTATTAGCTTCATTTGAAATATTCCTAATGACATGATGTGTATATAACTAGCTTATATCTTCTGCTTGAGGTGGGGAAGAATCGGATGTATTCATGTTTTCTTAATTCAAAGAATATTTTGCCATTATAGCTACTGTAAACCATAAGATTGTTTATATCCATCAAAAAACATAGGATTGTTGAACCTAACTGTTCTCATTCACTGTCGATTCTCATCTTGTAAACTATATCTTTATTTCAACCTGTTCTTATAGTTTCACTATTTGCTAACAGATTATAGGAATTTTTGTTAGTTCTTATAGTCCCATTGTCCTTTGACTAAAGAAATTTTCCTTTGTTGTGAATTGTGATCCCATTCAAAGGTGTCAGCTGGCTTGCTGGCAAAGTCTCCTTCTGGTTGTATGGAGACCTGGGATTCAATGCCACGCTCATCAGGGTTGAGCAGTTTGGGGCAGGGCTACCCCTATTGTGTAGATCATTTGCCTGGAAGTGTAAACATTCCCTTTCATGCGAATTTTGCCTTCACCATGTCAAAAATCACAACCTATAAAGTTTAAACACTTAATTGTACTTCCAGAGGTGTCATAGGCAAGATTCAGCAATTTCCATTTGTCTTCTATTTGGAAATTGAAGAATTCAAGGATCTCAACCACTTTTATATCGAGTGGAATAGAATCATATTCAAAGATCAAGTAGGATGGTATGTGTGGATGTAAATGCTGCATGTGTGTAGCGGCTTATGACCATACTTTATGAATTGCAGGGCTGCTTGTCTCCATTCATATTTTGTACTTTTTAATATAAAATCATAAATTAATTAAAAAAACAAAAAGTATGCACACCAGAGGTGCTTGTTGTCATATCCTCTTCAGAGTTGTACCATGTGCTTCTTTCAATAGTTATTGTTTATTTCTTACTTCTTTCCAAAAAGAAAAAGAAAAACAAAGGAATTATCTTCTTTGCTTGTTAGCTGGGTGGTTCACACTATAAACTGAACTGCCTGTTCACATTTTCTTTTCATGTGTGCATGCACAACAGGGACATCTACACACCTACAGGTTCTGTGACAACGTGTGGACCTTCATCCTACAGGATGCAACCTTCAAGAATGAGGAATGCCAGGAGAATGTTGGTAGGGCAAAAATAGTGGCATGTGACTCGAAGTTGCTCTCACAATGAGACGCCATCCCTTCTAAAGGAAATTTGAGACCCTTGCAGAGAAGTGACTGGAAGGTAGCCCAACTTGCAGAGACCCTTGCAGGAAATTTGAGACTAAAAAAGAAGAAACCATGTTCCCTTGAGAAAAACAATTATCATTTGAGATATTGAGATCCAGTAATTGTTCTACTAAAAAAAATTCTCGTGTTTCATTTTTACTTGTGTATGGAATTGTTGTGGACCATTTTGGAGAATCAGTGGAAATATGGATTGGAAAAGTGAAATAACAAAGGATTGACGAAATTTTACAACAAATAAGAAGATAATTCAAGAGGATCAATATTTATAACATTTGACAGGTCATAGCCATGCCACCTAGATTTGGTTCTAGATAGTTGTCTAAGCAGATCGCAATGGAAATTGGAAATCAAAGCGAGCTGAAACATCATAAAATTGCAGTGATATCTTGGTGCAAGTTAAAAAGGAATTTTATTTTCTCAGAATTTCCATTGGCGAGCTAAGAATGTCCAGACAGTCGAGCTGAAATGTAGAGATGAGATTACATTCCAGCAGCATACGAGGTTCTATGCTTCTGGCATCTGGTAACAAGTGATAAACGCACCATTGAACAATGGTTCACAACAAGGTCGTGCTCCATGCCCTACATCTAAGATCGGCTTCAATGCTCACAAGACCGTGTTCACACCATTAATACAGTCCCTTGCAGCTTTGGAAATATCTCTATTTGCTTTGAAAATATCTCTATTTGTATGTTTTTTCATGAGAAGATATTCTCATTCTCAATGCAAGGCTGCAAGAGACTTTGCAAACGGTGTGAGCACGGTTTTGTGAGAACTGAAGCCGATTTCCTCCGTCTAGACTCGAGACTCTTGGGAATCATCTGCCTTGAGCAACGGTATGTCAGAATCTGCGTAGCTGCACAAAGCTAGTAGGCGTTAGCTCACAGCAAATGCTCACAACAGATCCGGGTCGAATGAAAAATTTGTACTTCAGAGTTACACTCCAAATATCCACCAATTTTTGCTACCAGCCTTCCCACTTTTTACCATAACCGCAACCAAACGAACCTTATTGCCGTTCTAGTCTTGTTAAGTTGTTATTGAACGACAGAGAAACTAAAATAGAATAGATGCACTCGTGCAGATGTGCCTATTTCAGGTATTCATAAAATTATCATGCAAAAAACAAAGAAATAAAGGAAACTTAAGGCCCCTAACACTAGACATTTCTTTATAACCACGCATATCCATCATTTCATTATCGAAGCTTTATTCATGCACCTGAAGATCATCAATTAGTAGTTCAAAGATATGGGGAAACCACACGCCAAATGTTACATGACTTGTTCATCTGGGAAAATTGACTTCATAAATAAACAACTAAAAATCTAGGGACGCAGCTTTGGAGGAACCAGAGCAACTGGCAGATGTGGCATATGAATTCCCACTTGAACCATCAACTGGGGCTTGATTCAGACGTTCTAAAACCAAAGTCCTTCGCTTTTGAAGTTTAATTGAGAATGTCGATGCTTCTAGAATGACAGGAACCTGTTGACAATTTTGTATTACACCAATAATACAGTAAATGAGGTTATACATAAAAAGAGAGTACAAGGATGTAGATGTAGTACTCCAGAATATAGCACCAAACAAGAAAACAAGGTAGCAAGACAGACTTGCAGTGAACCAAGTCAAAGAAGCAGGGGATAAAACATTGTCAAGACTCAAAACTGCAGCTGATTAGGATGGGACTAACTGATGCATCCTTGATATCAAAGTTACGGTCCCAGCTCAGCAAACAGCAAAAGCAATGAATGGACCAATAAAGGAGTCTAAGAAAAGCTTTCACTGGTACCTGTGTATTAATACTGGCCACTTTATGCACATGGAGAAGGCCAACCATGTCCTGGTAGCCAGTAAGTAGTTTTGCCAACTCTTTGTCCTCGTCTGATTGGAAGAATTTATGTGTGGATCAGATTTGAGATACCCTCAAGAACACTAAGCAATGCATATGTAGATAGGACTGAGACTATACCAGGGATTGCTCTGACAGAAATCAAGGTGTCTGCCAAGTGTTGCCATCTCTTAGAGAAAGTTGGTGAAAGAAGAGAAGGTGAGAAGGTAATCACAGCAACTGCATTTGAAGGTCGTATCATGCTTTTCAGAGATCTAATAAAGGAAATCATATCCCATTCCTACAATAATAATAGATTGACGCAACAGATAATGCTTATTAACATCACCAAAATCTAAATTTAGAAAAAAAAATGCAAGAAAAAGAATAGAAAATGCTGAAATTATTCCTCAACAACAGCACTGAAATGTATTTAGCATGACACCCTATAAAAAAATGGAAAAAAGACAGATAAAAAAAGCTTTTTCTTTTTTCTTCTGTGGACATGGTATCATTAAGTTTCAACTCAAGTAAGAATCCTCCAAACAAATTAACAAGATGTATATCTAGTCAAATCAAGAGACATAATTAAACAAGAAAGCTCAAGGCAAATAAATGTCAGATTATTTATGGTACAGAACAAACCATGTTGGAATGGGAACAATGTGGAGCACAGAATGACTGTATGGCTATACGACCAGCAGATTTGCTGCCACCACCATTTCTGGAAACAAAGTTAAAAAAAAATAATGAGAATTAAATGATTAATAGTTTTTTATATTTTTTGATCAATGAAAAATGAGTAATAGTTCATTTATGCTTTCAAGGAGCATCTCTATTTGGATGAATTATGCCCCTTAGAAAACAACCAGAAAACACTTTCACTATATTTACCTATAGTTTTTTAGAGCTTATAGTTCAACAAAAACATCAACTGAGACCAATGCATTATTTCAGTTGTTTAGTCAAAATACTTGAACTATTTGCTTAATTTATTTCTTGCAAAGGGAACAACATACTGAGGGAACTTAAAGAAATTTAAATTGCAATACTATGTTTTTTTAGGGAGGGGGTTGCAGGGCTCTACTAGAAGAGGCAATTGGATTCAAAGAAAATTTCTGGAATGTATTAGAGTTGCCTTGAAAAGATTTTCACTTGTTCGTCCATCTTTTTGTGTTAAAAGATTTATCTTTAAGTGGAACTGAGTTCATCTCCCAAGTAACAAGTTGTGGAGAATTGATTTCAGAGTCCAGAATTGGGGTATCATTGGTCCCTATAATGTTTCAGGTTACAAAGTATCATTGGTCTCTATAATGTTTCATCCAGAACTTACCTAGTTACAAAGGATCAGTTTTACCAACCTCCACAAATCTTTTCAATTCCTACAGTAAACTCTACTAGCCTCCTCTCTCAACAAATATAACCGGCATACTGATTTCCGACAAGGCCAGTTCCATTGATTATTGTGATCTTTTTTATCAGCAAATAAAATTTTATTAGAAGAAATAATTAAGATTTAGTACAAGCAGTATTAATTATGATCTTAGACTGGCTAGAAACCCAGGATACAGCAATTAATGAATTTCAGACAAAGATTTCATGTTTAGTAGTGTTATAGGGTTCATTCATGAATTACTTATCTTAACATGAAAGATCAAATGATAGAAGATGAAACGCAAGTACTACAGCTAATATGGAATTAAAGGGCTGCAAGTTGGGTTGCCTGATATTAAGAATTTCAACTACATCAAGCCCAGATTAGGGCTCAGGCCCATTGAAAATTTAATACATTCCCAACCCGACCCGACCCAAGTTGCACCCCTAAATGGAATTACCAGATGGTAAAGGGACAAAAACCCAAGATCTTCGTTAGATGTATAGAAGTTCTGAGCATGCTGCAACCTATGCAAGACTGAAGGATAATTTAGCTCATACCAAAATTTCCATATCATAACTATGAAAATCAGTTCCCCAGCTTGTGCAGAATCAATTAATTAGGCCTGAAGGTTAGAAATATCATGGATTCAGCAGTTCATGTTGCTGTAACCATGTTCACATAATAAGGACACTTTTGTGGTTCTTAAACCATATTTCAAGCATTAGAACCATATGCTCAAGAATTGAAACATGCAGCATGTAAGACCAATAACGTGATTGCTAGTAATTTCATGATTCATGTCTCCATGATTATTTGCAACTGTCAAGCTGTAATAGGTCATTTGTATTGGATGTGAAAAGTATGTGACAAACCTTCAGAATTATGCTAAAAATGTTGAACAATATTCATGAAAAGCCACAAGCTTTGTATAATCTTGAATTAAACAGGAAAGCAGGTGACAAACCTTTCTAGTTGAGCTAAAAATATAGAACAACACTCCTGAAGATCTGAAAGGTTAGGATAATCCTGAAGACTGAAACAATCAATGTGGTTTCCACTGAGTAATTGCCTCTCCAAGGGTTTCCGCAAGTCAAAGTCATTGTTGTACTCCTGCCTATTTTCTGCACATCTATAAATTATTAGTCCTCCATTATCTATACAATCCTTGCTTCAATAATTCACAATAAACAATATTAGCTTGGATTTATTAGAAACTTGCAACAATCCAATAGTAATTCTTTTCACTTAATTGACAAACAAGAACAATGTTGAAAATATTTGGTAATGATGCACCTGATGTTGCTGCTATAATAGACAATATTCTTGTCTCATTTATGAAGTCCATAGCACTGAAAATAGTTCAATGACAATTAAAGCTCCCATAGATGATAATTTTTCAAACTTTTCAATGAGACTGGTTGTCCTCAGTGGCTCACAATGAAAGAAACGCATGCTATAATACAAGATATAGGACATTTATTTATGCATGTATGTATATATTTATTGAAATGGTAATGTATTGCATTGATATAAACAAGGAATATCAGAACACATGTACACCAAGGAACTGTACAATGGGAATATAATAAAAGCTACTTATGATATATATGGAGGTGAGAGTAAAAATGTCATTTCTTACTATTATGATGTTCATAAAACATTGGAGGGTCAAAGTATGTTTGATTATTAAAATAGTATACAAGAACTTGGGTTGAAATTCCTCATGTTAACTCAACAAATATGAGTAAACTCCATTTACCTTTCATTAGCCCTAACAAAGAAGAAGAAGAAGAAGAAGAAGAAGAAGGGTTCAAGACTATGTCACTGACTCGTGTCTTGATTGAACCCAAACAAATAAGAAGATAACAGAAAGAAACTAGTATAAGAATAACAAATATTAATACTATAAAGTATACCCGCAATATGAATAATTTAGTCTAATAATATCTATTGTACTACTATTAATAACATAAAATATTGTGTGATGTCTTACATATAAATATGTTGGCGTTTGGGCAAGGTGACCCTCCAAGAACGCCTTATCACCTAGGTGTTGCCTTGAGAACTATGTTCTCTGCCTATAAGACCTATTTTGGTGGAAGTGAATTATCCCTTCTACATGATGCTTTGGGTTTAGTATATGGTTAGGTAACCTCAAGTACTCAACCAATTTCAATAACCACAACTCTTTTGAGATAGGGAGGAAACTCGGGTCTGCAATGGAGAATGGAAACGGATTAAAAGAACTTCTAATGCTTTTGCTGATGTTCTAACAAAACAAGGGATGGGAAGAAGTCAACTGTTTTGGGCTCAATTGTAATTTTTAAGTTTTTTTTGAGGAGAGTTAGGAAAGTTTACCTCTCCTCTTTTTTGTATCTTTACTCCCTTTTTAATCATTAATTAAATTTGCTCTTTTTTATCAATAATTAAATTTGCTCTTATTGATCCAAAAAAATGGAGAATGCAAATGACAACCTTTGAGTTGTGACAGTCTACCTCATATAAAATAACAAGTTAAAGAGGAATATCAGTTTAGGAGTACTTCAAGGTGGTAGAATTTGGCTTGTAGAGTTCTCTTTGTAGATGCCATGTTAACCAATTCAAAGGCCACCTTCCTAGTGGATCTCTTGGCAAGGCATAGACAAGAATTCACCTGGATAGAGAATATAGAAGGATTATAATGGTTTTATTTTCATGGTCAAATTTTTCTATTTGATGCTAATTAGAGGTGAGAATGCATCCTTTTCATGGAAAAGATATGGGCTCCGAACAACACTTCTGAATTGTTTCATTACATGAAAAGGATATTTGGATAAAATTCACACCATTATTCACCTGATATCACATGGAAGGGTAAACATCTAATGTTCCTTATGCTGCAATTAAACCATTGCCATTAGACATCCTTAATAGCAGAGATTTACTTCTCCTTCATTAGCAATAAAATCTGTTGAAAAGAAAATTCAACTTTTCTCCTTTCAATGGAATAAAGCCGTAGGGCGTATAGTATGTTCGAGGAATCAGAAACTTAGGAGAAATTTTAAGAGGCAGTCTTCCTAATTTGAGTAATAATAGAAAATGGCCCTAGCTCCAGAAAATTTTGGCTAGCATTGTTTACCGCAGAAAATATTAATCATTTGCAACAGGTTAAAAAAAATAAAACATAAACTATCAACATAAAAAGGAAATATAATTAGAAAAGATTATGCTAAAGTCTGTTACCTCTATGATTCTCAAAGCTCTGCTTGTTCTCCCCGAAGTACTTTTTGTACTGCCAAGCAATCCTCAGACCCTTCTCCTGGAACTCAAGTAAACCCACAATATTTCAAATTCCTAATTAGCCCCCCTTTTTTGATCAGCAACACAGGATGGTAGTTAGCCCCTTTTTTATCAGCAAAAAAGGTTAATTCCCACTTCCTAATTAGCCCATTAAGTGACACTAATGAATAAAAAGAACACGTGAAGGCAAAAGGCACCTGTTCTGGATCATACTGAGGAACTTTATCTTCCTTGGACAAAATGGGACTTGGCAGAGTACCCAGAAACCCTCTTGGGTCTCTGACTGGACTAGCATAAAGAAGAGGTTGATTGTGAACCAGACCTTGCGACATGAAATTCCTCAACAGTAGCAGATGGTGAGGTGCTTCTGCATCTTCCATTACCATAACCAAGCTCCCCAAAGGAAACCCACCCCCTAAAATCTCTACAAATCACAATTACATCAAAATCAGTAATTCAAAAACAGGTTGCAAAGAATTATCAACAAACAGAGGATATCAAAGAGTTTTTACAGTTTTCTATCTTTCTATTTCCCTTTTTTACTTGTAATATGAAGAAGAAAAAAAGAACTTCGACCATATATAGAGAATTACTGTCAAGGTCTGGTATTCCAGAGGAGACAAAGGTGACCCCATTAGGTCCATGCTTAACACCAGGAGCCTGAACAAATGATGCACCTGACAGGTTGCGAGAGAAGCTGCTCGTCTTTCCCTTCATTGAAGCCATATCTATTCTGTCCAATGTTGAAAACCACAATTATCTTAAGCATTGAAGGAATGATACACACAAAATTTGTTTTCTTGCATGCCTTACAAATACACTGTATAGTGTATACCACATATTAATAACATCATACCATAATTCAAAAGGTCCTATACATTATTCCAGATTGTGGTCTCAGATGGATTTGTGAGAGTTACCAGGTAAAAAACAGTACGCTAAGCAAATTTCAAGTTTCAGACTTCCAGCAGCTCCATAGTGAATAGCCCATCCTGGTAAGGTAATTGGAGACAAGAAGGAGAGCCACAGACGCACATATGAGTAATTGAGTAGAAAAAACATATATCCAATATAATTATATAAGATGATAGGTTTAACCTTAAATAGAGCCTAAAGATAGAGGAAAGAATTTTCAACAATGAAAATTGGTTTTGGAGTGGTAGAGAGAAAGTAGGAACTAGGAAGATAATTAGAAATTAAAACTTAAAAGTAAGTTGGGAAAGAGGTCGACTGTAGCAATTGATCATACAAAAATAATAAAAAGAGAGGTTTTTATCACTTAAAAAAAACGAGATATTTCACAGGGTCAGGATCATCTGGTCGGTGCTTCTGGTTGGCTTCCCAGTTGGCAGCCCTCCTGGTGCCACCTGTCCATTCCCCCGTATGCATCAGCTCTTCATGAAAGAACGAGACAGAGCAAGTTAACCCTGTCTCTTATTTGTTTTGAGTTTTTAAATTTTAAAATTTAGATTTAGTAAAATAACTTTCTAAAAAATCTCTAGAAGCACCTTTCAGACTCCTTTTGGCCACACTTTAATCGACTCTGTTTCCACAGTCCAACTCCCTTGTCCTTCATAGATGCTCTATCAACACTCAAGTAGCATCTATCATCCCTCTACCTTTCTCCCTTGTAGATCCCGGCATTCAAGTTAGATTGTTTATATTATTGTTACCCGATTCTTTTTTTTTTGTGTTTTGATGAATGTAATGCCAATTGCCAAACACTAAGTGGTTTGGACTTAAACAATTAGTCTGTAGCAATAAAGGAATGCATGTTATTTGAAATCCTAATCAAATTATCTATCAAAAAAAAGTTCTAATCAAATTTTGGACTGTAACAATAAAGGATTCAAAGCAGCACCAACAAGGCAAGAAAAAAGTTTTTCCCTTTTCATTGTGCTGAATTTTAGGTTTTTAAGCAAGAAGCATATCCTAGTAATGACAGAAAATAGGTAGATAAAGAAAGTGATTGAAATGACATTTGGGCTAGTGTTGGTTTTCAGTGGGGGTTATGTACAGTGATATACCCTCTATTGTAAACCTCTGCCCATTTTTACTGTAAAAGGAATTCCCTTCATTAATTTTGTCAGTCCTATTCTTGCTGGTATAGGTGGTCCACTTTTGAGTGTGGGTATAGTTGGTCCAACTCTGAAGTGCCTTTTTTCATACACAAAATCAATTACATTTTACTAATCATAGGATGTAGCATAGAGATTAGGAATGTTTCTTAAAAAACTCACAGCATACTGAATATTGGATCTATAGAAAGCTTGAGTAATGAAACATGACAAGTCCTAAATCTATCCAAAAAAATAAAAATAAAAATAAAAACATGGCAATTCCTAAGAGTTTCTTGTTTAGCTAAATTAGGAACGTGTTGAGTTTCAGTCTATTCCAAACAGTGTTTTAAAAGGTGTGGGAGGCATGGCGAGGTGAGGCGCTCCCAAAATGCCCTGAGGCGTATGCCGGAGGCGCCGACACCTCTGAGGCGTATGCATCATGCACACCTGATATAAAAAAGACTGAAAAGAAAAAAGAAAAGAGCCGGAGGCGCCGACACCTCTGAGGTGTATGCATCATGCACACCTGATATAAAAAAGACTAAAAAGAAAAAAGAAAAGAGAAAAAAAGGAAAGGAAAAGAAAAGAAAAGAAAAGAAAGGGAAGGGAAGGGAAGGGAAGAAAAGATAAGAAAGTGGTCTGCCCCGGCCCCTTTGGCTGGGGGTCTTCACCCCCCTTCTCAATGCAACCCAATATGTTTTTTTTTTTTTTATTGTGTTGGTCACTCGCTTGCCTCCGCTTCGACAAGACCCCCACCCCCCCCTCTCAACTAGTGTTGTGCATCTTTATTCTTCTTAATATAAAAGATTTTTATAAAAAATGAACAAAAAATGAGATCCCCCTTTCAATTAGTGTTTGGGAGGCTTATGCCTCTTACCTTCTGAACTTCGTCTCATGCCTCTAGGTAGTGGAATGCCTCTCGTCATGCCTCCGCGTTTTAAAAGATTGATTTCAATTTTAAGGAATGGTTCATAATGTCACACCACAAATTGGAACCATATGTTTCCTAGGTCGGATTGAAATCCCATCCAAGAGTACTGCATCCAAACTCATTTTCCATGACCTGTCCCCATAACATTGGTTCATTCCTATGCCTCCAATAGTAACGGAGCAGCTTCTCTGTCTCCCAAAGCAATCCATTCTCACAAAACTTGCCAATATTGTTTAGCATCTATACCTGCCTTCTTAAACATGTCAAGCACTTTCAGAACTTCCTCAACCAGAAATTACCATTCACCATTATAAGATAACTTCACTTTTTCCTTTAGAACCCACCCCTATTCAGCATTGATTAAATGCAAGTTGACCCTCCTCACCGCAATGCCCATTATGATGAGGGGGGAAATTCCTGCAATATTAGCAAGGTCTGATTACAAATATCAATAGACTGAAAATATATCTTCGATTTCCTTCAAAATCCTCAAACTTTGCTTTATAGAACCTAACCAAGAAGGCACAAACCCAAACAGGGCAAGTGAATCACTCTATTCTTTATCATAAAATGGAGAGAGGTCAAAACCCATTCAACCATCAAATCCTAACAAGAAGATCACAAAGCCAGGAAACCTATTGCAAGATCGTAATGCATCATTTGGGGAATCAAACAAAACCCACCCAGAGCAAGTACTCGAAGTTGGATTGTACCTGAGACACCAGACGGCAAGTGTTCAGTTGCTGTAACAGGTTCACTAGTTCACTGCACCAAAAAAAAATGAAGATGAAGAAAGGAGAAGAACGAAGAAGAAAGAGGAAGAACAGGGAAGAAGAAGAAGAAGAAGAAGAAGAAGAAGAACGTAAAAACGAGGAGCCAAACATACCTGTGCGAGGGTTTCAGTGCCCCAACCGTTGTGAGAATGTGAGAAGAAGAGTAGAAGACCCCCTATCGAAAATTTCCCACCGGCCAACGTACTCGCGAATTTTGGCACACGAACGAACTAGACGCCAGAGGCCCAATAAGACACGAAGCTTCACTTCAAGCTTCCCGATTTTGGGCTTACGGGCTTTCACCTGCCAAAAGGGGAAAGCTCAAAGTTTGGGCTTTTAGGCTTTTAAAAGCCCGAAAGCTCGCGTAAAGACTTGCCAAACGCCACTTTGATATTTTTCTCTTTTTGGGATTGTTTGGTTTGCAGTCAATGTTGAATTGAAATCAGGAATCGTCTATTCCCAACATTTATTTGGTTCAATGGGACTTGATCACTTGAAATTGGATTCCAATCATTGCTATTTGATTCATTTGAAGTCAGAATTGGAATTAATCAGATTTTTAATTTTGTATTAATTTATTAATACTTTATTATTGTTTTATTAATATTTAATAATTAATATCTTAGCATTTCGCTATTAATTTATTAATATTTTATGAATATATAATTATTGTTTTATTAACTATGAATATTTTATTGCAAGTTTGTTAATAATTTATTTTTTATTAATAGTTTATAGTATTGTTTTATTATTATTTTATTAGTACTTTGTTATTATTTTTTATTAGTATTTAATAATCAATATTTTAGCATTTATTATTATTTTATGAAACAAAATATTAATAAATTTATAATTTTGTTATTACTTTACTAATGTTTTATTAAGAATTTATTATTTTCTTATTACTTTATTAATACTCAATTATTTTTGTTTTTATTAATTTACATTATTGTTCTATTATTACTTCAATTATATTATACTAGCATTTTCTTTGTACTTGATTATTGTTATTACTTAACAATTAATAGCTTTATTTTTATTATTAATTTATCAATATTTTATGATAGTACTAGCTATTATTTTACTTATGGTTTAGCTAATTGATTAACTCTATCCTTATTGTTTACGTATTATCTTAAAGTACCTTTATTATTTCTGAAAATTAATATCATTATTAAGTACTAGCAGAAAAAATGAAATACCGAATTTATCCTTCACTATTCCTTAAATTTTCAAAATAAAACCCAAATGATGAAAAAGTCAGGAAGAAGAAGAAACGGATGGCAGCTCTAACAATGATGTTTCAGAGACGGAAAAACCTCACAGTGACAAAATACGCCAAGAACGCATCCTTAATTGGACTATCATCTCTGCGAGAGTGAACTGAGACTGAGGTCCCAAAATTACGAGCATAATGAGCAGTCATCGGAGGGCTTACCATCAAACTCAAACGGAGTGTGACAGAAGTTGAAGCATAAGGGCATCCATGTCAACATATTCATACCGACTTTTCTTTCGATAAAAGATTATGCCTTTAATTAAAGAAACCCACGCAGTTCCAATGATACAGAATTCATAGTTTTGGTAATTTCATGGTTTGTCTTTGTTTAACTTTGCAGTAGAAAAAGAAAAAGGATATATCCAGATCTAACGCTTAGAATCAATATCCACATTGATAGTAGGCGTTCCACCGAGATGTCCGAGAAGACTTACGGTTACCAACATTAACAATGGGGTGAAGACATAACATCACCGATGACCTGTATCACCAGCGGAAGCCGAACACGGGAGTTACAATTTGACTTCTAATGCAAATAATTAAGAGAGATGTGCGCTCAACAGAAAATGGTTGATTTATTTACTGTTTTTTGTAATTGTGTTTTGAAACTTACTTATTGTTGAAAAGGTTCTTCACTGCAATTATTAACTGTCAAGCAAAACTCCCAGAAGAAGGGTTCTTGTCTTGTGGTTTTATTCTTCGTTTTAAGGTTGAGGATGATGAATGGTTTACAACAAGGGTGATGGAAAATTAAAATTAAGCAAGATTTTAGACAATTGTGAGGAATAGTAAGGATATTTTAAGACAATATATAAATAATAAGAATAAAATAAATCAATTAGTTAAACCATAAAGATAGTTTAAGAAATTTGTCCTATTTTATTAATATTAAGTTTTGGGTTTTTTTATTTTTATTTTTTTTGAAGAATTAGTTATTTCTTAACATACTCTGCAATGGGAATCTCATTCCTGCAATGGTCATTCTCCCATGTGGGGGCCCATTCTACCTTGAATGTTAATCAGAACCCCATTCTGTCTAAACAAATGGTTAGACATTTTGATTCCGATTTTAGGCACTTATTACAGCAAACCAAAACAAATCCTTAATTTTTAAGTATAGGCACTTGATTCTAATCTCACTTGAGGGCCTTAACTTTTAAATGTGTCAATTTATTTTCTTAATTTTCAGAAATATACATTTAAATCTAATTCCATCAAACTAAACATTATGGTAAAGTATAAAATTATAAAAATATGCATGTATTTTTTTTCATTATTCATCTTTCTTCTATCATTGTTGTCTTTGGTTGCAGTGTAAATTTATTTGCACTAGTACAAATACATGAGAGTGCAAATTCTTGTTTAATTTTGTTTTAGATTTTATTTTATTCTGCTTCATGTCTTAATTTATTTCATTTGTACTGCAATCAAACAAAATAAGTTAAATTTTTGAACAAAAATAAGTCATAAATTACACTCAGATCATTTGCACTGTTGTGGTTTTGCATCAGCGCAAATTTATTTACATTGCAACCAAACACATTAAATGCAATTCAACAGTAGCAAAATAAGCATCTTAAAGTAAGACTACACCCCTCACCATTATACCTGTTCATGGACTAGGCTAGGCCGGACTTTTACTCTGCTAACTGGTACGGTTGAGGTGTCGCCACCTCTACTGAAGTGCTGAACAAAGAAGTGAATGACCCGTTTGAGTAGCCTTGCAAAAAAGGGCATGTCTTAGTCTGGTTTGCTTCTTTGAGGAGATCCCTACGTGATCAAGGACCTGGTACAAAGGACTGTATTTACTTTTTTCATCTGTTATTTATATATCATGATTTAACAAAAAAAAAAGGGTAAATTACGGATAGGTACTCTATACTTTGGGATAGTGACAAATAGGTACATGAACTTTTAATTGTTGCATTTGAGTACCTTGAACTTTTAAAAATAGACACTTGGGTACATTCGTTAGTATTCGGTATTCCATTAATTAAACATTATATATTGCCAAAAATACCCTTCTCATGTATTTCTGAGATCATTTTCAAGTAACCAAATGTCTTCTCAGGATGACATTCTCACATGGACAACAAATAATAGATTCAAAATTTTTTATGACAGCATTCTCTAGTGATGATTTTACTCTGTAAAATGATCTAAAAAATACATGAGAAGGGCATTTTTTAGATTATGTGATATTTAACTAGCAAAATACTAACAGATGGACCCAAGTGTCTATTTTTTAGAATTCAAGGTACTCAAGTGTTGCAAGTGAAAGTTTAGCGTACCTATTTGTCACTACCCCCAAAGTACAGGGTGCCTATTTATAATTTACCCAAAAAATATGATATCGATGGGAGAATAAATGTAATGCAGGTTAGGTTAGTAGAAATAAGAAATATTAAATTAAATATATGTAATGTATTTTTTATTATATGAATAAAGTCGAGCTGGGCTCTTTTGACAAATCTCGAGCATGGGCCAAAAAAATCAGGCTTAGTGTTTTGGGCCTGAGCTCAAGCCTATGGGCCTAAACTCCTATCCAAGCCTAACTGGGAACAAGCCAGGCTGGTCTAGCCTGTCGGGTTATCCAGTCCATGAACAAGTCTACTCACCATAACCTTATTAGTTTAACGAAGTTTGACTTAAATGTGTATTTTTTAAAGTTTAGGTATTAAAGTGGCACATTTGAAAGTTTATATGCCTTAAATTAAAATTACCCCCAAGGTAAAAAGTACCTATTTGAAAGGTTCATTTACTTAAACACCCATATAGTTTCATATAACTACTAAAACACCCCTATAAATTGTGTTTGACTAAGTCACCCTTTTAGTTTGCACCTGCTTTATTTAACCCATCATCCATTGTTTACCCAAAAAAAAAAGGAACCCATCTCTTGGACTAAGTGAAAATTGTAAGACATTGTCCATTATTTTTATTTCAAATATACCCATAAATCAATACAAAATTGGTTTTATGGTGAAAGAAGGGTTGTCTGCTCTCGATTTGGAGCCAATTGAACATAAATCAACAAAAGCATTAATATTACCTCCATCCAACACTGTAAAAGCAAGTTTTTGAGACTTATCATCACTTGATAAAATCTTTTTCAACCTGGAATAGAAGAGAAATGCTTTTACTTAAGCCACAGTGAAACAAAGCACTGTAGAAGCATTTCTCAATTTGTTTGCAAACTCACCCTTGGCAGCTCTTGTTCTCACTGTTAACCATCGGGATACAATAATTTATTATTTCTCGACGAGGGTGGATTCAAACCGAGCCAAGCCGAATAGTACGAGGCTCGAGCTCGGCTCGGCTCGGCTCAAGCTCGATTTTGAGAAAAAAAATATTTTATAAAAAATAAAAAAATATATATATATATTTTATTTGATATTTAGAAAATTAAGAATTATAATATTTTTATTATATATATATTATTTTCTATAATTTTATATATATATATATATATTCGACTTGGTTCGCGAGCCTCACAAATCGATCTCTAGTAGGCTCGAGCTCGGTTCATTTCATAATCAAGCCAATGAATTGGGCTCGAGCTCGACTTGAAGCTCAGTTGAAATTGAGCCGAGCTGAGCTTGAGCAGCTCGTGAAAAGCTCGGCTTGTTGCCACCCCTATTTCTCAATGTCTAAAGAATGATACAAAGAACATAATAGAAATAGTGTTCTTTGTATGATGTGCATTAATGAAAAGATATGTTGTGAATTCAAAGAACAAAAGAAATTAGGATAGGAGGATAATAAAAAATGGAGTTGACAATTTACCCTTTCCTAGTTGCCAGTTTCCGTCTTGTTAGCAAGATTTTGTATACTTTATGCAATTGTAAGTGTGTACATGTTTTGCACGTGGTAACTCTAGGTGATGATAACAATAATAATTATGTATTCAACGTTTTTTACAAAATTCATGAATTTTGTGTTATTTTTGTTTTTCATTATTAATCGGATGCATATTGAAAAATACAAATCCAATTATATAAACACCTCATATTGGGCTACAAA